TGGTCACATTCTGCAGACTTTGCACAATTTTGCAAGTTTTGAAGGAAGAGCTTTTGATTTTTCAATATTTTGAATGTAAACATCGATCAAATCACAAATTGTTATTCTAGTTGCACCGATTATCATACACCGTTTAAATCTTAAGGACAAAATTAAATTGAATACCTATAGGTATTAACCTAACCTAGAAATTTTAATAAAAATTTCTAGGATATAATGTTCAAGCTGAAATTACTAAGCATATATCCAAAAATTATAATCTGAAAATGCATTTATGTTACCGGCGAACCCCGGTTTGCCGGTAACACATAGAAAATATTTGCACGTCTGGGTATTTGACAAAAGTTCAGATTTGACTATTAGCTTTTGACATATATTGTATATTTTTGGCCATTTTTGATAAGGGCGGTTTACATATAGTATAAATTAATCCTGACAGGTTGTTTGGTTCGGTCATGTCAATAGAATGACGGACGAAAGGCTGCCAAAAAAGTTGCTTGATTGGGTCCTGCCGGGAGGAGACGAAGAGGACGCCCGTCCCCCAGTGAAAGGGTGGCGACAGGGGGTTTTAGAAGAAATATTAAGGGTTTGCCAACTCCCTGAAGGGCTTTGGGAGGATAGGGGACTTTGGCGACTAGGAGTCGCAGAGCGCCAGAGAGCGCTATAAAAGCGGCTTCATACATACATACATAAATAAATAAATTAATCCAATTTCAGTTTTTCACTTTTAAAGCGGCCTCCTTAGGCTTTTTTGAACGCACTCAAAACGCAATCTTGGACCTCACTGCACTATCATAATACTTAGGGGAACGTTGAGTAACACGAAACCAATTTACAGGTCCGCTACAAACGAGCCAAACGACCAAGGGCGGAAGGGAAACTTGGAGCCAATACGCTTGCACGTTTGAAAAACTGCTTGACAACCCGATAAATGTCGCATGGTAGGGGTGGCAGGATGAGGATTCATTGCTCATGGCTCATGTCTCATGGCGACCAGACATATCGTCTCTCCTCTGACGTAAGGGTGTATCTCCATTGCCACGTGATCCCTGTTTTACATATAAGTCAATGCTTTTTGGGGCTCATGCGGACATCGAGATACGCCCTTACGTCAGAGGAGCGACGATATTAATGGCAACAGGAGCCGGAGGGACCCGGACCCACTGCTCCAGACTCGAGCGCCACCCGCCACCGTGCACAGGAAATGAGGATCCTTGGTCATACCCTTAGACTCTTCTTCAATTTACGCCATCGGAATATGAATTAGTGCTCGCCCGAGTAGAGTCCTTCCCCCCACCCCCGCCCTGTCACTCTCCGACCACACTGAAAAGCGCCTCCGTCCGTTTTCATAGACTCAAAGCGAGAAAAGAAAGGGGCTCGAGGACAAATTATTAATCGGAATACTTCGTTCGATGTTTCCCTTTGACATTTTTTTTTTAAAAAAAATGATGCACTGGAAAAATAAACATATTGGATCTAGAGTCCAGACTCTTGAAAACATTGACAAGAAAAAGGACTCTTGATTCAAGCAGATTTAAGCTTAGATCAAAAGGAAATCCGCTCAAGTTAAGAGGCTTGGTTCTTGATTTAAGCAAAAAGAGCCGTATGCAAAAACGACATTTTTCGCCCCCCCACTAAAACTTATTCAAACTTCGTCTATCAGTTACTAATACTGGAGCGCTTCTTTCCCCAAATTTTCAGACCCCCAAAAAATTTTGGGGGGGCGCTAGGGGGGGTGGAAGTCAAAACCTGTGAACCTCGATATCTTTCAAACGAAACAAGATATTGAGGCCCGGTTTGGACGAAAAATCGTCTTAAATTGCACACTTTAAGATTCTAAAGGTCAAAATCCCAAAATTAAATTTTTAACTTAATTTATGTGCTTTTTTTTCAGTTTTTGATGAAAAACAATTTCTTTTAAACAGATTAAACTGAAATTTCACATTTTTTGATTTGAACCAAAACCAGTTTTGTAGATTGCTCGTCTTTTTCCGCATCCAATGAGTGGTCGTATAAGCTGGGGAACCGAACGGTTCCGGAGTTATGATCGATTGAAGTTTCCGCTCAACGCGCGCCGACCGATTTTCGCGCGCAAAAAAGTCGGATTTGACTGTTATTAAATCAGATTTAATGTTCAAACTGAGCAAAATGCATTATTAGGGACCCTTGAGGGTCGCTGAGTCCAGAAATTACAGATACTTCCAAAAAATTCACGTTTTTAAAATTACAGCTCCGTACAGGACCACTGAGCGGCCGGTCGGCGCTCAGTGGGCCTCTAAAATAGCGCTACGGAGCTGTAATTTTAAAAACGTGAATTTTTTGGAAGTATCTGTAATTTCTGGACTCAGCGACCCTCAAGGGTCCCTAATAATGCATTTTGCTCAGTTTGAACATTAAATCTGATTTAATAACAGTCAAATCCGACTTTTTTGCGCGCGAAAATCGGTCGGCGCGCGTTGAGCGGAAACTTCAATCGATCATAACTCCGGAACCGTTCGGTTCCCCAGCTTATACGACCACTCGTTGGATGCGGAAAAAGACGAGCAATCTACAAAACTGGTTTTGGTTCAAATCAAAAAATGTGAAATTTCAGTTTAATCTGTTTAAAAGAAATTGTTTTTCATCAAAAACTGAAAAAAAAGCACATAAGTTAAGTTAAAAATTTAATTTTGGGATTTTGACCTTTAGAATCTTAAAGTATGCAATTTAAGACGATTTTTCGTCCAAACCGGGCCTCAATATCTTGTTTCGTTCGAAAGATATCGAGGGTCACAGGTTTTGACTTCCACCCCCCCCCCTAGCGCCCCCCCAAAATTTTTTGGGGGTCTGAAAATTTGGGGAAAGAAGCGCTCCAGTATTAGTAACTGATAGACGAAGTTTGAATAAGTTTTAGTGGGGGGGGCGAAAAATGTCGTTTTTGCATACGGCTCTTTGAATGAATCAAGAGTATTTTTTCTTGTTGATGTTTTTAAGAGTCTGGACTCTAGATCAAATGTGTTTTTTTCCAGTGATACGCATAGCAGTGACAATTTTTGACCAAAAATTTAGAGATAGAAGGAATTGCAGTGGGCTGATAATTGAAATTGATAGACAAAGTAAAAGACATAGAAGACATAGGGAACATGGAGCTATCCTATCAGCTGATGTGGGTGGTTGTTATAGACCAAGGGGAAAATGATGGACTAACTACAGGATCTATCGTGGGTTGCCGTTAGTTAGTCTATCACCTACCTCTTTTGTTCATTGGAACCACCCGCTTCCACCAATAAGATCGCTCCATAATCCATATGTCTTCTTTGTCTACCGCTTTGTCTATCAATTTCAATAATCAGCCCCCTGCTTGACACATCGGAGTAAAATTCAGTGTATGTAACTCACTCAGTGGGCCGAGGCAAAGCTATAGACAAAGAAGACAGAAGAGACTTCAAGGGATCATATTGGTGGAGACGAGTGGTTGCGATGGACAAAGTCGTTGCTGTATCCCTTGGTTTCTCCGTTTTCTGTTCGCGTAATCGCCGTCCCACGCGGGCAGCGGTGATGAGTCCCGTGAAAATGACGAAAGAAAAGAGAAAGATTGACGTGGGGGAGGGGAGGGGGGGCACCGATTTTATTTCTTGTTCACCCTCGCGATAGTGCGTCATAACCAATGATGGGCCATTGTCGTGACCTTTAGATTAACGCTTGAATTTTCCGAGCGTCAAGCGTAGATGCCAGATTTAGATGGGAGCAAGGCATCATGGATTCAAACGTCTTGGGCGAATAGGACGACATCTAAAATCACGCGTTCATTAACCGATACCAAGCTTATCAATTCTATGGATCTAATCCACGCCTGTCACAATTTAAATTTTAAGGGCTTTTTTTGAACGTAGGATTTATTTTTGCAGGTAGCAACAATCAAAGGTACAATCAAACATCTTGTTCCTGGCAATTTGTCGCCATCAATCCTTTGTCTCTGAATAAAATCGAGTGCATTGCCCCGCCATAAAGTTCGAGTTAATCTTAGAAATTACATGTCATAAACAATTTGTTTTTGTCTGTGTGACATTTGAATCACTGAGGATTTTGATCCAAAATTGGGGTCTCCTTGAGCAAATACTTGGGAGTTAAACACAAATTATAGCTCGATCCTTTCAACCGCGCAGTTTTTCTCTCTAAGTGCAACAACTCTGTAATCGGCGAATAAATGCGCTGATATTTCAATAAACCGCTCATTCAGTCAAATCTTTGTTCCCCGGATGAAAGAACGTAATTTTAATCTAAAGTTCAAAAATTGGCTCAGACAATTCAATTTTTTACAGGAATATATCCGTGCGATTCTTTACCCTAATTTTTCTCATTTTTGCATGATACCGGAAGAAAAATCAATGAGATTTTCAGTTAGATATGACCAAGAAGACTCTTCAGTCCTAATCGCAATTAGCGAGTGAAAATTTGGCAACATTGTAATGTAGTTACTTTCTTTCTTGGGGGAACAAACGATTTGGTCGATGTTTCGAGATCCGTAGGTCCTCTCACCCTTCGCCGTGGCGGTGCGGCAACCCGCAACTGTCCGTCATGGTGGTTGTACCGCACCCCCCACCCTCTCCCTCCTAACGTTGCTCGATAGATATCACCTTTGTCTTTTGTTTCAATTTTATGCACCATCCGACGTGATCATACTTTAAACTGCCCCCCCCCCTCCCTCGATCCCATCAACGCGTTTAGGCCCCCCCTTCCACCCCCGGTCGTCCGTTTCGTCGCCTTGTCGCATTAAGTAATTTTTTCCTCGCAGTTGCCGTCTATGATAAAATTCCGTGTTTTCCCAGTGTGGCAAGTGGCATCCCATGTGTTGAAAAGTCGATACCCAATGTTAATGTGTCGTACAATTTTCACAAGGATCATAAGGTTTCAACACTTACAGTTTTAACTCATTGAGCATTGAATCGTTCTAAAATATGCCTTGGTACCACTTTAATGGCATATATCCGTGCTATTCAACTGTATTGTTTTTCTTACAGGAAACTGGGGTTACCACAGGCAAGGATCCTGCCAAGCTGGTCTTGGCGCCTCCATCTCGAAGGTACGTTATTATTAAATTTGCTTCAATTATACGAATTATAAGAAACTAAAATATCTTCATAGATAGAGAAATTTGTTTCCATTCTCCTCGTAAATTTTCAGAGTGCACTTGAGTATTTTTCTCATTTTTTCTTCTTTTTTCTACACTGAAAAAAAATGCACTTGACTCAAGCACGATGATTCTTGAATTTGCCGCCAAGATTTTTTTAAATTTTGATCTAAGCTCGATTTTTCTTGATACAAAGAAAACGAGGCTTGGGTTAAGCAAAAAAGTAACTTTTTTTTTTTTATCTTGATTTAAGCTGAATTTTTCTTGATACATGGAAAATAAGGCTTGGGTTTAAGCAAAAAATTAGTTTTTGTTTAGCAGCAAAATTGTTGATTTAAGAAAAAAATACTTCTTGGCGGCAAATGCAAGATTCTTCTTCTTCTTCTTTCTTCTTTTTTCTTTTTTTTTTCTTTCAGTGTACCTTTTTGAGCTGGACACGTACTTAAGATTAGAAGAAAACATGCAATCCTCCCCTTCTCCCACGCGTGGTGACTTAAATCGCGCTAAGTAATTTTGAAAAAAAAGCTTTAAGACTGAAAATTCATCTGCGGTTGTATAGAACCCATGCAAGCTAGGTATGGAGGACATTCAGGTAGCGTGTGAGCGACGGACGTTGAGTTTCGCATGTCGTCGCCCTTTCGGCGTAAGGGCGTGTCTCAATCTCGACGTGAGCCCTGTATCACATGTAAACCCATGCTTTTTGGGGCTCATGCGGGATTCGAGATACGCCCTTACGTCAGAGGGACGACGATGTATACCCATGCTCATGTAGGCAGGAAGGGACATCATCTCCCCATCAAAAACCTGGGTGGAGCATCCATGCCGTAGCCAGACGAAAGTTATTAGCTGTGTCGAGGCCTGCTGTGAGCGGTTATCAAGAAGCTCGGCCATCACTTCAACCGTGGGCTGTGCCATTCATTCGAGACGGCTCCGAGCTCAAACTTAACATCGTTGACTACTCCTTAAAGCCATCCACGACTGCCAAATCTCCCCAGTTGGAAAAAGTACCTTGAAAAAATAAAAGAGATTGTGTTGATTTTGTGCTGAGAAAAAAAGTTCGGTCTTATGAATCGTGTTAGTGTGTTCAATGTGTTCAGTGTGATACACACGTCTCATGCGTAGTGCATTTGGTGTAAGTTACTTCGGCGATCGGCGTATTGTCCGTGAACCACTCGAGAGTCGAGACTGTAGGAACACACGACTTTACCAAGCGCCTTCATTTCGAGAGCTGGCAATAAACGTGACACGTATGTTTAGTCGCCGTGCCATCACGCTGCAGGCTACTTTACATAAAGTTCCCGAGCATCACTATCGAGAGTCCATCTATAAATCGCGCTTTGTCCGGATGCTCTGAAGAGTTGATCTACCTCCCAATATTCCAAGTTAACGATCGGACCGTTCTGTACATCAATTAACGATACGACAGCCATCTATCTAAAAGAATTAATCGAATTTAGTGGCGAAAATTCGCCTTCCTAATCCCATAGGAAGTCATCTTCCTCTCATGGAACCCAGAGTCCCTTTATACTGAGAGTCAAGACAACACCCCATCATAGAGTCACAAACGGGAATCAAGGTTACACAAATTGAACGTTTTTCGTAATCTTTGATCGGCCCATTCTCGAATTCCTTTCTCCGTTCCTTCCCTCATTCCGTTTGTCCCTTGTCGAACTCGTAATTCCTCGGTCCAATGCAGATTATAATCTTTGCAATTGGGGGAAAAATGTAATCTTAATTCCCGTTTGTGACACTGTGGAGGCCTAAAATACAGAAACCAATCAGAAATGGATTCACATTGTCTTGACTCTCAGTATAAAGGGACTCTAATGGAACCCTGAAGATCGACCGATGACCAACGGTCGCACCAATCATCGACAGACGACGATGACACCTACGAACAAGGTCAACGATCCCTCCCCTTTCCCCCGAAATGAGGTATCCGGCTCGCACACTTGATCCGGTTGAGTGAACCTTGCGTGTCCCTGTATGGGATGCTGTACCTTTCCTTTCGCAGATGCTGCTCGCAAGTTATCCGTGATGTGAGTCTCCAAACAGTCGCTCGCTTCTGCGAATGGCTCCGCGAGCTCTGCGCAGAATTTCTCCGTCCCGTTCCCTGAGTATCGTAGATGAGACTTGATGTCGATTTCTGAGGAGCTGAAAAAGAAAATTTGGGAGGGAAACAATAATATATTATTGTGACCGTCCACGAAAAAATTGATCTTGGCACCCAAAGGCTGCTGTATGCCAGATGCCGTTGCGCCAAATGATCTTAAATAATCAGCCATGCCGCCGTGCTAAGGAAAAACAGGGTGTCTAGCATCAGGAAAAACCGAAAATATCAGGAATTTTGGTCGATCAGGAAAAAATCAGGAAAATTGGAAAAATTGGACGTTTTATCAGGAATTTTTCTTACGAGATCTCCTCAGGGGAGAAAGTCTTACTGTTTTTTGCCTACCGTGCCAGGAGTCGAGAAAAATCTGGAAAATATCAGGAATTTTCGAATTGCAAAAATCAGGAATTTTTATAAAATATCAGGAAAAATCAGTAAAATGTCAGGATTTTTCAAAATTAAAAAATACTAGACACCCTGAAAAACGCCGTATGAGCCCTCAGGTGTTGCCAAATTCCCCTGGTAAAACACTAATTTTCAGGAAGTTTTTTTAATATTTGTCTACCAATTTCTCGGATAATTTTGTTTGTAATTTGATCTGAAACGTCTGAAAATTTCAATGGAAAATATTCATAATTTTTCTCATAAATAAACATTTTATCGAAGGAAATTTGGCAACTCTCGAATGTTCATACGGCGTTCTTCCTTACCACGGCAGCAGGGCCCCTAAAAATGATGCCATGGCCTAAAATTGTCTTGTCAATGTCATAATATTGCTTTAAGAGGAACACGTAAGCACGACTATATTTCAGTATTTTCCTTTGGACTGAGATGCTAATTACCTCTTGGATCTCCCCAGTGACGAACTTCATCATATTTTCGCCTAAGTTTGGACTCAGTTTAGTTGAGAGGAGGAAGACTAAAGTAGTTTCAGTCTCACTGAAATTGTGCGACTCTTTCTTGTCTCACATGGATGAAGCCTAAAAGTTTAAAAAGTCATCGCATTAAAACCACCAATGTTTACTGAAATAGAAAAGTAGTCTGCAAATTTGCTTCTCTTTTTTTGTTATTTTCTATCGGGGCTCTCTCTTTCTCCTTCCTCCCTCTCTTTCTTCCTTTTTGATTCCTTCTTTCCTTTTTATTTTTCGAATAAAATTCGTGGTCTGATCACTGAACAACGTTTTATAACTTACATTGCGGTGATGGTCGTTGCTTTCAGCCAAACTTGGTCGCATTGGTGCCGAAACGTTTTACTACATTTCTACTGCAACTATATATGAACTCTTTATTTATAATATTTATATTATTATTTTTATTTTAGTATTAATTATTGTTTTTTTTATTTTTTTGCAGGATGGCAAGCGATTGTTTATTGGAGCAGTTGGTAGCTGGTATTGGCAAGGTATGTATCTAAAAATATGGCTGATTTGACCATTTTTAATCGCTCTCTCCAGTTTTAGATGACGCCGAATATTGGATCTGTAAAAGTCCTGGAGCTCGGAAAATCGAAGGCCTCTCTGTGTTGCGATCAAAGGAAAGCCTTCTATGACCAGATGAACTTAGCGCTGCTATGTGTGGAACATTCGAAATATTTTTTGTATTTCACTGGTTGTTAATGTGTTTTTTTCAAAGTTCTATTCGCTTCATATCAAATTTAATTATATGCTATACACTCCAATGCGGAAGAAATCCTCCTCCCTCTTTCCTTTTTCCCTCAAAGAATAGGTTCAAACCTCCTTCTTAAAAATACCTGTAATACCTGATTTTAGTGTAGCTCCCATTTCCTTTCACTGGTCTCTTTCGGCAGATTCAAATGAATGAATTACATTTTGCAATAAAGAATGCATGCAATGCATTTTCCATAAAGGCACATTTCTACATAGGAAAATCAATGGCATGTATGTTGTTCATAAAATGAGCCAGAAATTGTGGTTCCTTATTGCAAAATGCGGTCCAAATAAGCTGTCACGAGTAGGAGAGAGGGATAACCTTTTCGAATTGAAATTGTGAATCTGGTAGTTTGAAACTTATTCAGATGTTTCGAGCCCAGAACTTCTGAGTTACGGTCATACTTAGGTTCGATGACTTAGAAACGAAATGGATTTTTCCCCTCTTTTTCCCATTTCTTTTTGGTGCTTTATCCTCCTTGTCCCCCACCTTTTAAATGATAGCAGTTATTTTTCAATGGACGTCCTCTGCCACTCTCGTTTATTCCAGAGTTTTTCTGTTCATTTCATTTTTCCAAAGCCCGCTAATGCGTTCACCCTGATTTTAGGGCCTATTTCACAATGCTATTCAATTCGAATGCGATCCGTATGTTTGTATTCTCACGCTATGTCCGTTTGTAATTTTTCTCTTTCATTATTTTTGCACGTATGGTTCATCATTGTTTTCTTCTTTCAATCTGTCTCGATATATACAAAATTGTATTCAAACCCGTGTAACGTAAAAAATTTTTTGTGCTTTATTGATTCCCAGGAAATCATGAAATAATTATTCAAAATACCAGTATAGTTCAATACATTATGAGATGGGTGAGTTTCGCGCTCAGCGAGATCAATATAATAAAGCCATAAACCGCGCGTTCGCGTTAATGAGATTTATTTTCGCGAAATGAGCACGGCCAATACGACTTCGGTACCTCTGTTTCATACCGTGAATATTCATGAGCTAAACTGCGGAAGATCATTAGGAACGCTTTTACCGCTCCGCTAGCTCTTTTTCTATAATCCTACCCTATTATTATTTTTAATTATTATTCTCAATGCAACTACTTAAGATGTAGACGTATTTTTCTTCCCTTTCACATCCCTATAGCTTCTGTCACTGTATCTACGTGTCGCAGGCAATTAGCAATCGCCGGCAATTTACCAGCCAGTGGTGAATAAATATAGAAAATTCTAAAATTCTAAAATAAAAGAACAATTTTACAGTGCTGATTAGGTTGCCTGAATAGGCACTTTTCCACCCTTAAAACATGACAGAATTATGCACACTCGGAACAGAGCGCAGTAAACTCCGTGACATTGGTTGGGTTGAGATCGGACAGGCAACTAAACTAACACCGTGACAAAGCGTAGAGTATCACAAATAATGAAGGCGCTTCAAGCCGAGCTCATACACGACCATAACCTTTAAAATTGCATTATGCCGATGCCCATTATTGCGGTTTATTGAAACAACGTGTGAACCGCTTGCAAATTGCCGGCGATTGCTAATTGCCTGCAACATACGCATCAAACATATTGCTTTCGTACCGTGCTTTTTTTTCTATTCTTTTTTTAAAGTACTGCAAAATATGAATAGACATTTTGAATGTCCTGCTGCTAATGTATGTGTTCTTAAATTCAGTCTATTCTTTGATTATCCTGTCGCGTCAGGGGGCTTTAAAGACTGCTGTTCACAAATTCTTTTGACTGAATTTGTGGCTTTTATATTTTACACCGCGTGTAAGGATAGGCAAAACTTGTGAATTGCATCTAAAATCGAGCTACAACGAAAAGCGCTCATTTGAGACCACTCCCATCATTTTGAAACACCCGCTCTTTTTTCAAAATGTAATTTTTCCGCGCTTCAATGTGGATTGGCTTTGATTGGCTGGAAATTTGTAAACAAAAACAAACGCGCGGAATGAATTTGAGGTTATACGTTCGATTTAATTGTTTCTTGTTTTCTCAAAATGAGACGAAGCTCTTTATTCCCTTTACTCTTTTTTGACGCTTGGCTCGTGAAATTAAAATTGTCTCGCAAGGGATAGCAGAGTATTCCCAAATTTTTCATGATTTCCTTCTCACAAGCAGTGTCCAATTCATGTGCTGATAGCATGAGGAAAATGCATACAAATGGCAAACGGTTTTGTTTTTGAACAGGTACTCTTTAGAGATTCCTTGCATTGATGTTTACATTTTACGTTTAAAGAAATATTTTGCTCCCTTTTGTTCTCTTCTCTTTCCTATCTCTATCTCTCATGCCGCAATGTTTTCTTATGTTAGAAGAACAGCCAATTTACCTGTTGCTCAGAAGTGTACTCTTTTGTATGCATCTAAGAAACGAACGCATAATCTGAATAATTGCAACAGGAACAATTGAATACAATTTTTAGTTGGCTATCAGTCACATCATCATTTGACTTGTCTAATCTTAAGAAGAGGCAACAGAATTAATCTTGCATTTTCATTTTTGAAGCAACTATCTAATCAAATTCAGTAGGTATATGAAAAGTTAGATTGGTCAAGTTCACCTAGATTTTAAAATCAGGGAATTAAGGGAGCTTTCATTTGTTTTTAGCAAGAGTAATTAATCTGTTTAAGGACACTAGTTTTTTCCTATCCAAGGGATGTTGATAATTTTTTGAAGTTCATTTTTGCACTCCAAATCCCATCCGTTTCAATTTTGTGTGTGGTGAAGTTTTCAATACTTAATCCTCACTGCCTGATTTTGCTCATTCCCTCAATCTAAGTAGTACCTGGTACTCATAAAGTACATTTACTTAAAGTACTCAGTAGTATTATCTTTATTACTATTTTTCAGGGGAAAGTATTCAGGTTTATTCCATTTTTAAAACATACCCATGTATGCCTGAAATTTATTTGAAATATTTAAGAATTGCATCTTTTCATTCGTTTTGCTTATTCTATCGGGGCTGCATGTACTGTCATTGATGTTTTGCACCATTTCTATTATTTATGTTCTTCACAGGTCAACTTTACTCTATCGATAGCAATGTTCGTCTACCATTCCTCCCTTCACGACTACCATTCATTGAACATGAGCCAGGTAAAATCAGAGTTGGTTTCAGAAACCATTTGGAACTGCCCTCTACTAATCTCTTAACATGTCTGTCTTTTGAGCGCTTTAAACAATGGTTCTTGGTGTCGGAGTATTTGGTGCTCGATAATTCATTGGATTTATCTTGTGCAACTTTCACAATTGTCATGTCTAGTTTGTGGCATTTTCTTTTTTTTTTTTTTTTTTACAGCTCTCAATTTTACAAAATGCATCCCTCCTGAAAATGGCTTCATTTTTGCCAGGAAAATTGGTTTTTAATCTTAAGTTCTGAATTTTTCTCTAACTGTTGATAATCTTATCAATAGAGGTATGGATGCAAAGCTGAGCTTTGTGCTGACAACTAACAAAAAGACTGCAACACACAGTGCAAATACTACTGAACATCACACTCTCGGTTGACATGTTTTATTTTCTTCGCTACATTAATCATTAATAGTTTTTCTTCTACGCAACGTCCCGAACGGAAATCCCATATGATTTTCTTTTTTTGGTTTGATTCTAATTTCCCACCTCACACAAAGGGTTTTTTTCTTCCCCTTTTTTAAAACAAGTATTTAATGTGCCCTGAAACATTTTTGACTGAATGTAATTAACTTGTTAATTTTATAGATTACAAATTTACTTTAAAAAATTAGAAGAAAAAAATTAGAAGTAGATCATCCAATTTTGAGCTGACAGCTTTTCAAATCCTCTATCTAAATGATGAATATTTACTCCATTAAAATTTAACGTGGTTTAGGTGTAAAATTGAATTGTTTTATTTTTGCACATTGTTCGCTTAAGCTCATTTTATTCCTAGATGGAAAATAGTATGGTGTTATTCTTATAACACTAAGAGAGTGTTCATTATCAATTACCTACTGCTGTGCTACAATGCTACATGCAGCTTCAACAGGACAATGCTTAAAGCTAACAAATATTGAAGGGTAGTATCTTTTCATAAATATTGAAAAGCTATCGGTCTAAAATATGAGCTTTTTCCCCCTTTTGTTTTTCTTCCTCCCCTAAGAAAAGGAAGCTCTTTTTGCCCCCAGGATATAACATTCATTTCATCTGTGTTTCTCAGAACATTTTGTAATGTAAAAAGTACCTTTACCTTTTGTTTGAATCTTCTAATTGATTTCTTTTCTACTCATATTTTGTGGTGTTTTTTCCTCAACAACCAATTGTAATAATTCCTTCCTCTTTTTTTTTAAATTTAGTTTTTTTTTTTTTTTTTTTTTTTTTTTTTTTTTTTTGGCATTGTATCTTTAGCACTGAACTTCTATTACTTCAAATGATCAATTTAAGTAATAATCATATCAACAATTAAGAACTTTTGCACCTATTTGATTTTTAAAGGAATATTAAAAAACACAAAACATTTCAAGGCGATTAATGTAACTAGACATTTTTGCCCTTAATTTTTTGATGATATTTTTTTGACAGAAAGACAAGGAAAAATGAGATGATATTTTATGCATTTAACAGTAATCAGATATTGACAGCAAAATCAGAACTCAAAATCAGTAATGGTGCAATTCGAGTTGGTTTATGTAGTTTCTCCATGAGTTTTTAACCCAGAGATTGGTCTGTGTTTGCGGGAAAAGTAAATGTACTTCAGTACAATGGTCATAACTGTTGCCAAGATTGTGCATACTTTTTAACAAGAGGCTGCAGAATGTTCAAATAATCACTACCTAAACTTAATATATGTAAAAGGTTACTAGTTTACTCTCCTTATAGCTTCCTTGTAGCTATACCCCTGAAGTATGTTGATATTTGCTCAATATCTTCTCTTCTATTCTAAATCCACCTACTTATATCGAAGCCAAGTCTTTTGTCCTTTAATACATACCTGTCAAGCGTTGGTATGTATCTACATTTTAGTGTTTCAAAATGCCTGGATATTCCTTCTTTTCTTTCGTGGATGAGCCATTTTTTTGAAATTTCTGATACGTTTGCTTGTGTGGCTTAAAAATAAAAGAGCGGAAGGTTTGATTATGACTTGTTTTAAAAACACCTATGTTCATGAAAATTTTGCGACATCACAATGTAGATACCTATGCCTGTTTATGTGGCCACCGACAAATAGTCTGTTCAATGACAATTTTGGATTTTAAATTTATGAGATAATTGTATCACCTTAAGCGACATTATTCTATTGTACATATGTTAATGAAATCTTCTTGATTCAAATAAGTAGCTGGTTAACTTTAGTCTGCTATTGGTTGGTGCCGTAACAATCTTCAGTTTTAATATCTAAAATACTCTGTATTTTCGGTTATGCAAACTAATTAATTAATTTAATTCGAAAGTAATGCTCATATAAACTCATACTTTTAACCGTCCAAAATTATAACTTGTATGTACTTTTTTACTTCAGTACGTAAAATTAGAAATGGAGTAGAATTATAAACAAACTCAAGCAAAAGTCCCTCATGAAGATTTTAAAGTTCAAAACTACGCAATGCAACATTTTATTTTTATCTAAAACTTAACAAGTTTTCCAAGATGCATCAGGAAACGTTGGACTTGCTCTCTGTAGAACTTGCTGGACTCCATTTCATCGAAAGGAAATGAATGTCAATAAAGGTTTTTTTTGGTACCACTGAGACTCCTTGCAGAAAAAGCCTTTTCTGTGAGTAAATCGAAAAATTATTTAAAAAAGAAAAAACTGAAAATAAAAAAGCAATTCTGCCAGGAAACTTTCTGTTAACCCACTAATCTACGAACTCTGACATGTAGCATATCTCTCACAACTCGTCTATTAGAAGTAAGTAAAAATTGTAAGATGGTGACGCAGAAAGTTTTAACTTTTTATTTTACCCAAAATGATGGGCTTTATCTCTAAATTTCTTCTTGTCTGTGCTCAGGTCAAGTGTTCTCTCAAAATTTATACAATCGTCCAGAAGTGTTATCAACGAATGAAGGGCCACCAGCAGATGATGACTCTTATCTTGGTTACTCTGTTGCTGTTGGAGATTTTGCAGATGATGGGGAGGCTGGTGTGGCCGTTGGCATGCCAAGAGGTGCAGGTCTTCTCGGCAAAGTAAGCATTTCTAAATTATATTTCCTTTCAACCCAACCCCAGGACATTCTGTATTCATCGAAATTTGTTCGTAGAAAAAAGCTAAATGTGTTCGAAATAATACCTGAAAATCTTAAACAATTGTTGCTCTGTCTCTCTCGTGGAGTCTTTAAATTCGTCGAGTATATTTCTGCTTGATATTCACTCAGATAAGATTATTTAAAGTTTTTTTTTTTTTAACACTTCAAATATCCCTTGAGGGATAATCCTGCGCTCTACCCTCCCTAGAGCCTCATCCCCCCTTTGTCTCTAATCAAGCCAGCCCCAGGTTACTGTTGTTTGAGACCATCCAACTCGGGTCACCTGACTGAGAATCGAACTGGGAACCTCCGGATCACAGAGCAAGCGCTAAAACCACTACACCACAAAAGGACAACAATTGTAAATTAAAACCTTATTTCATTCACGGGAGAAATATTAGATCGAAATTTGAATCTCAACTTAGAATCAATTCAACAAATGTTCAACACTCTGCTTTCCTGGTAAAATCGCGGTCTTACCGTAGTATAGGATGACTCTCTTTATTTGATTGATTTTTCTATTACAATCTGTGTATCATCGAAGGTATCTTGCTTCAAGTTCGAAGTGTCTCATTATTTGCCCATCCCTTTGTGATTGTAAATTTTCATCATACTCACTGATGCATTTATTTTATCTAGATTGTTCTGTACTCATGGAACCTGACCAACCTTCAAAACATCACTGGCGAACAGCTTGGAGCATATTTTGGCTACTCTTTGTGCGTAGTTGATGTTGATGGAGACGAACTTGATGATTTAATTATTGGGGCACCATTATACACAGATATGACAAACAATGAAGGCCACTATGAGAATGGAAGGGTTTACGTTGTTTACCAAGGAAGAGAAACTTACAAGTTCAGAGATTTGCATACGCGAGATGGTAAAAACTCCAAGTCAAGATTTGGCCTTGCTCTCACTTCCTTAGGCGATATCAACAAAGATGGCTTTGGTGGTATGTATGTCTTAAAGTTTCAAGTAGCTTTCCATAAAGAGGGATGAAAATATAATTAAAATATAACAGGTAACAAAGATCTGGGTGTCTACAAGTTTAAGAGGCTTTGAAAATTGGGACATGTCACTAGAAAAATTGTACCAGAAAATGTCCAGAAATTTAATTTAATCAGTCTGAGTCTTCAAGGTGATCAAAAAAATGTACCTGTAAAAATGTAAAATGTAAACTTTTCTAAAGGAAATTGGGAATTACAGGTCACTTTTTGAAGCAGCAATACAAATTTTTTGTCGGTTTAATGCATATTGATACAGTTTGTTCGCAGTGAGAATGTTTTTTTAACATCAGCTGTTTAAATGAACTGGTGGTGGAAAGAGGGGAGTCTTATCTGATATTTGTGTAGACTGTTTGTTTATCAAGAAAACCAGAGGATTTTTGCAATTTCTTATCAGGGAAGTCATAGGGATATGTGGCAGAAAATTTTTCCCTTTAACTTAGTAGTCACTTTGATTGACTAATTCTCTGACAAAGTTACCTTTGGGATGAAACGTGTACCTCTAAATTTCATGAAAAGAAGTGTAATCTAACACTTTGTTTCTTTCCCCTCTCATAAATGATTCCTCTATTCATTGCTGAGAGTAAATTTTCAGAACAAGTGACAATGTTAATTATACACTTGGCAGTCCCTCTACTATGCAAAATAAAAATCCTCCTCAGATTACAGGACTTTCTACAGGAAGCATACTCGTAATAATCGTTAAAGAAGACAAATATAGCAAAAAACCAATATTATGTGCTGTAGTGTAAAATTCTGTTCATAGCACATGCATGCTCTCTCAGTCGGACATCCTTTTGTCTGCATATGGTTAGTTGGTTACCAACCTAAAGGTAACAAATGTGTAGAGAATCTCTGTTTTTGCTCAGATTTTTGCCATGACTCCAAATTTTACTGTAAAAATCATTCATGAAATGAAGGAAAACTTGGATTTATTCTACAATGTGTGTAAATTTGTGTACAGACTTTGCTGTTGGAGCCCCATATGATGGGCAATTTGAAAGAGGAGCCGTGTATATCTATCATGGATCTCGCAATGGTGTTAGAGAGAAAGCCTCGCAAGTCATTTTTGCAGAAAACGTTCTACCAGGCCACGCTACAACTTTTGGATTCTCTCTTTCTGGAGGATTGGATTTGGATAACAATCAGTACCCTGATCTCATTATCGGCGCCTATGAAGCTGACTCGGCATTTTTCTTAAGGTATGATTTCCATAAAAAAAATGAATTATGTTCGAGAGACAATACTACCAAATCAATATGTGGAGTGAATAAATAAATTCAGAATTTCTAAGTGACGTCATTTCAGATTGTCGAATTCTGAGAGTATAACGTTTCTAAAAGCTTTAGATACCTGTGATGAAAATTGCCTATCAATGCTTTATACGAACTGGAATCTTGTGATTAAAATATTTTTTTTCTAATTAAATTTTCAAAAGGAGCTTTAAATTTTGTAAAAATTTAAAATCTCACTTTGAAATGTTCTGATTTTTAAATGCTGAAATATTACTCTTGATACAAAGATACCTAAATATTTTGCCTGCGTTTTGAAGACCATTAAATTCAACCAATTCAATTTAGAGGAAACCATTCTCTTTTTTCAAATCCATCAATTGAAATTTGTACCCTAAGTTTTTGTATTATTTTTTTTTCAGAGCAAGGCCTGTGGTAAAAATGCAGTCCAGTTTACAGTTCATCTCAGAGTCTAAGCAGATCTCTCTTGAGGACCGTACTTGCAGTCTGAAAGACACCACTGAAGTTTCATGCCTTCAGTTGAGCACCTGCTTAGAATATTCTGGCATAGGAGTTGACAAGAACCTAGATTTTGATGTCCAACTTCTCCTAGACTCAAAGAAACCCAAAAGCCCCCGAATGTTCTTCTTATCAGAGGAAGGAAAGAATGTCATGAACCAAAGTTTACGGTTGGAAAAAGGCACCCGATTTTGCAAGAATATGAATGTCTATATCAAGGTCTGTACTCCTTTTCTCTCAAATGACTTCTTTCTCCTTTTATGTATTTGCATCTTATTTCAAAATTTCTCTAAATTTCATTCTTGCCCTCTTCAAACAAACTTTAAAGATATCTAAATAGATATCAATGGTGAATCTCCCAAACCTCGTACTTTGGTTTGAGACATTTCAGTCTTCCTGCCATCCTTTTTTTTTAGATGGAAAACTACTCAACAGAGTGAGATTTTATTAAATTACAACTGCAGTGATTTTTCCTCTATAGTCTGTGCAAACCAATTAGACCAAATACAAATTCGGGCATTTTTGGGCGAACCGAGAATTGCAACGTCGGATCCCGGCGAGGAGCCGCTGGGTCAGCGCTGAGCTCACCGGGGTACTTTTCCCATTGTGTCCACGCCGGGCCTTTACCTGGCGGCCGGACTCTTGTCATTAAGGCCCTCTGGCTACTGGTGGACCAAAAATTGCACACCAATTTTTTTATCATCTGTGAATTTTTCCTTCATTTCAACGGATTCGGATGCATCTTGCAATCCTGATGAAAAATATATATAATTATAGGTAAATATAATGGTAAATTATTGTATTACAGAACTCGCGAATTCCTTTAGCGATTACCAAAAACTCCAAAAAAGTTCTGTAGTACAAATAAGTAATTAAAGTCCATCTTCAGTTTTCCTTAAATTTTATCAGTTCTTTTTTTAAATTTGTTTCAGACATCTGTTCGGGACAAACTGACCCCTCTTGAAGCAGAGATGCGGTATACTCTTCGTGACGCCTACACTCACTTTACCTCCTCCTCACGCAGAACATCAAGACTCTTGACCCCTGTTTTAGATATGGACGATGAACTTGCTCTTGTGAGGAGAGACTCTGTCAGCATTCAAAAGAACTGTGGCAAAGATAACGTGTGCATTCCTGACCTTCGCTTGATTGCTCAACCGTAAGTAACCACCATCATGAAATTTTTTCTGCTGTGCTGAGGAAAAACACCGCATAAGCATTCAGAACATTGTCAAATTTTTTCTGATTTAATTTAAAAAGAATCCCCTGAAAAAATGGCAAATTGTTTTCTTTTGATTCATCAGAGAATTTCTTTCATTCAAACTCTGATTCTTAGAATTCCTCACAGCTCCAGAGCAAGGTAGGGTTGCACCGGTGGAGTAAGATTATTGTCACCAATTAGCTAGGACTGTTTTCATTGTGTCACTGTACCAGGATGTTGGTTAAATGGTGTAAGGTTCTCTCAATAAGAGACCTGAGGTTGATGCACTCCTCATCAGTTGTAATCTTAATAATACAGGGAAGAAATTTTCTGATATTATACACACAACTGACTGCAAATCAGACTTTTTTTTACCTATTTGCAGCTTTATATTGAAAGATAAAATTGTAAATTCCATTTTTTTGTGAGAGGAACATTTTGAGACTTCGACTTCTCCATTGTTATGAGCCGGGTATTATAGCTTGGTTTTTTTTTAGGGAGGAGGAGGAAGTGCAATTTTTTTTTCCTACCCTTCATAATGCCTGAGAAACTGGACAAAACATGCCATGTTAACTTTAACTTTTTTCTTCAGCATCGTCCACGAGTTATTCATTTTTCTTTTCTGTCTTCCTTGTTAATTACCAACCCAACAGTTGTGATGTTAGTTGTAAATTGTGAAATGATCAGGTTGCTACTATGAATTTCTTTTCTGTCACAGGAGTGTGAAGCGCTACTTACTCGGCTCTGGTGAACGACTTTACATCGATGTGCTAGTACAGAATGAAGGTGAAGATTCCTTTGAATCAACCTTCGACATGGCGATACCACCTGGTATGAATTATGTTAATATTGAGCGAATTGATGATGCTGAAAAAGAAATTCCTGTGTTGTGCTCTGCTCCAACATATGCCAACAATTTCACACTTCACTGTGATATTGGAAATCCACTTCCCAAGGAGAAATTGGTAAGTCTTGCCACTTGTTCTGTAGGCACTTGAAACAAATCATAAATGCTTTTTTTCTTTCCCATGAATTTTTCTGCAATCTTAAATAGTCGCACTTCAGAGACTGTATCTGTGACATTTAGTGTGAAATTTAACTCAACTAGATAATGGTTTTTTTTTTTTTTTTTATGAGCGGGAAGTTTGCATTGAGGCATCCTAAAAACATAAATACCTTGGTTAGGAGTTACTGTTAATAACTTTTGTTGCATAAACCCTGTTCCATGTAAAATTTTGATTTGAAAGCATATCATAATGTTTAATTTGCACCTTCTCTCCAGGTCCATTGACGTAAATTAGACCTACAAACGTCAGCTCTAGAACTTCTCATTTGTGAGCCAAAATTTATTTATAGTAAATCCTCAAAACACATAAACTGCTGATGTGTAATTGTGTGTTCTAATATAATTTGATTTTACATTCATGCAGGTTCACTTCAAAGTCATTTTAGAAGCTTTCCATAAAGAAGGAATGAAGCCTCGCTACGAATTTTACATGGCTGTGAACAGCACCAACCCTGAGAAAAGCATCTCCATTTCTGATAACCTGGAACATCTGAGTGTTCCAATTTGGGTGGAGTCAGATCTTATTCTGCAAGGGTAAGTTCTTTTCTAGTCAGTCAAGAAAATCATATTGTTAGAACAGTTCAAATAAATTCATCTTAAACATTTTGAATCCAGTGAGAGATATTCCCAACTTTCTGAGTGATACAGAGGAATTTTATACCATTTTTCTGGTTTCAAGTCATCGTATTTTTAGTAAAATAAGTACAAAATGGAGAATTTGCACGCAATTTTTTTATTGCTTCATCTGAAAGTGCCTAATGAGCTGAGTTCGCAATATTTTTCATAATTTTTTTCTGACATGGGAAATTGGAGAAAAATTGATTTAAGAGTGAGAAAATGTGCCGCCTTGTGACGTCATCTGGCGGCATTTCCCATTTAAACACATGTATTTTAGCAGAATCGGTTATTTTGTCATATCTCCTCTAATAATTGCTCAATTTATGAATCAAGGGTATCTTCGTGTTCAGTTCACTCAGAGGATTCCACTTAAACAGGAAATTCATCAAATTTCAGACCCTTGCAAATTCTCCATTCTTTGTGGAGGTCAAGAATCAAATGCAAGTCCTGATTTTTTTTTTTTTTTATTATTTAAAAATATTAAAATTGTATCTCTTAAAAAGATCCTGAGTTCTCATTTTTGGTATCAAATCACTTTATTGCAATCTATTTTCCAACATAATCTGCAACTAATTTTAATTAAAGGTATTTATTCATCTCCTAAAGGGGTCGTTTCTAAAGTATGTAACGTTTGGCTGGGAAGAGGGGGACCTGTATCACAAAAACAGTGCAAGAAGGGGAAGGAAGGATCAAATAATTTGTAAATCAGGGTTTTGTATTATACGAAGGATTCCAAAGTTATTTTTTTCTCTTTATGCTTTTGGGTTCTCATTTGTTTTAATTTCTTTTTCCCAGATCATCTCATCCATCTGATGTCCACTACAATTCTACCATCTACAACTTCGAAAATATCACAACAGAAGCTGATATTGGACCACAAGTGATTCACATATATAGTATTCGGAATAAAGGACCGTCTGACATTTTAGAAGCTGAAGCTTACTTTTTGTGGCCATCTTACACGCTTGATGGAGATCATCTCCTCTACTTGCTCGAGCAGCCAGAAACCAGTGGGCCTGTTAAATGTGAACTTGTCGATAAAGTGAATGAACAGGAAGTCATTCTTGATAAGAAACGGAAATCATACCTTGAGTTGACAGGTATTCAAAACAGCTTAATGGGTGTGACATCTGCACAACACTCTGTCAGTCAAGGAAATAATCTGAAGTATGAAGAATCACAAAAATCATCCACCGCTTCAACATCATTTACTGCAAGTAACACCTTCAATGCTCGTGGTCAGAATAGTCGACAGAACAAAGGTGAAAAGAATGAGAAAAGTAAGCACAAAAAGTATGAGGAAAAGAAAAAGTTTGAAGAGTCAAGCTTTGAGACTGGATCTAGTGGATCCAGGTCTAGCTCTCAAAGCCGAGTTGGATCTGGTTACTCTGAAAGCTCTTACTCAGCCAACAGACAAAATACAGAAAAAGTTCACCAGAATGTTAGAGTGCCTATTGAAATAAGTGTCGCAAGTGCTAACAGATTATCAAGCTCAAGTTCAAGCAAGACATCTGAGGACCAATTCAACGTCCAGACTAAAGAAGAAGGATCAGCTCAGAGTGTCAATCAAGCTGGAATCCATGAAAATGTTGGTGTCGATATTAGCCGCAGCTCATCAAAGAATTATGAAAGCTCCTTTGCATCCAACAGGAATGCTAATGCTGCCAATTCGAGGCGAGTCTCAAGTGGTGAGCGTTTTGAAAAGAACTACAACCAAGGAAGTTCCATCGATCTAGGTGCAAATCATGGCCTTGATTTTAGTGTAACCACCGATGGTAAAGATCACTCCTCGTTCCACTCGGTAGATAAATCATATACAGCTAACACAACCTGGGACTCGGACAGTGGGGTCCAAAGAACTGTTGACCATTCCAGCTGGAAAACGAATGATGATGGTGTTGTTAAAAATGGAAGTAGAAGTAGAGTATATTCTGGTCAACCAAACGTTGATTTTGGAATTGATAGTAACTATGGAGTCACAAAAAGTAGTTCTGGAAACTACAACTTTGATATCAATTTAGCAAATAGTCAGACTGGTAGAAGTGGCTCTGGTCAGCTCCACACTGGCTCTGATGCTGAAAGCCGCTATTTTGCCGGAAATAACGCGGACTTAGGGAGCCGCTCTCAACACAATTATGCAGTGTCTGAGGCCTCTGAGACTGTATCAGAGAGTTCTCGTCGGTTTTCAAAGAATGAGGGTGACATCTGGAGCAACACTCAAAAAAGTAGGGAAAGATTGGATGAAGAAAGGAGGAACCGAGCTAACTTAGCAGCAAAGAGACGGCAGGAAGAATTCGACAGGCAAAGGCTTGAGGAAGCAGAACGAAGAAGGCAAGAAGAGGAACGGCAAAGGTTTGAGGAAGCGGAGCAAAGAAGGCAGGAAGAGGAGAGGCATCGAGCAGAGGAGCTGGAAAGGAGGAGGTATGAGGAGAGAGAAAGACAGCGGCAAGAAGAAATTGAGAGGAGAAGGAATGAAGAGTATGAAAGAAAGAGGATTGAGGAGATTGAAAGGAGGACTCATGAAATAAATCAAAGAGGTCGCTCATCTTCTTACCAATCGTCCTCCTCTTACCAGTCCTCCGCGTCCCACCAATCTTCTGCATCCCACCAGTCCTCAAGCAAAGAGGTGGAAGACAGCTCCGGTAGGCTTAAATTGTACACCAAGTACAAGAGAGAAATAACTCTTAAGGATGATGAAGAACTTGAAGATGCCTTGAATTGTGGGCCAACCAAATGCACAAAGATCAGGTGCTCCATCGGCCGCCTATCGAAAGATCAAGAGGGATGGGTAGCTTTCAGATCCAGAGTTTGGATGCCGACTATTAAGAAGGTACTTGGATTTTTGTTACTCCAGCTTTTTTCTCTATAGGATAATGTGCAGTAGTAAAACGATATGGTCAAAAATAGAAAAACTCCTAAAAATGTAATTTTCTTAGTTGTAAGTATATATTAAACGTGCATAATTTTTCAGCTGAGGCCTCTCTGCTGATTTTGAATTTCAGGACCATGTGAGAAGAGGGACTATAGCCTCTAAGATAGGCTTTGTTTCCATTATTTGTTCTCAAACCTATCCACTGTCATTTTTTAACGTTCCAAGACCATTCAGGATATTTTTGGAGCTCTCGCATGTGTTAGAGATTTGCGATTTAAGTACTTATTCTTTTGCAAAATTTTGCTGAGAACATTATGGTGCCACTAGTTTTCTCTGAAACGAACTCAAAAGCTCAGAAGAAGGTCTCAAAATTGATTTGCTTCCTGTCTGTGCATGGAGAGTTAGACTATGTATAGAGGTGGACTCTCAACATAGTGTGGAAGAACCCCTCCATTCCGGCTACAATTTTCAGAGCTTCAGAGTTCATTGTAGCAAAAGCCAGTGGCATCATCATGTCTCTCGCAAAATTACTTGCTCTAAGAAAAAGTACTTAAATTGCAAATCCCTGACACATGCAAGAACTCCATCTCCCATTTAACTTATTCATTTTGACAGGAATAGTTTTCACTCTCAGATTTCATCAAAGTTATCGGTTATCATGTTTTCCTTTTCATTAATTTGAATGTTTTTGCATTTTCAGATTGCCGATGACAAAGAGGTTCATTTAAGTTCAATGTTAGCAGCTCGTGTAACTAAATTACCGCATGTCGGTGCTCCTGATGTTCCTGTCGTTAGAAGTCATGAAATTCGTACTCAGGTTCTATCGAGAGATACCGGAGTTGAACCAGAGATGGTCCCTCTTTGGGTTGTGATTCTCTCCGCAGTACTTGGTGCCTTAATACTAATGCTGCTGATATACTTACTTTACAAGGTAAGTTTGCAAATAATGAACATTATACAGTTCCTAGCAAAATTCACTCATTGAGTCTGGAGCATACAGATTTTGGAGGATCGATTTGAATTGCCGGGAAACACTTCAATCCATAATTTCTACGTAAGGTTTCTCTAAGATTGCTTGTCAAGAGAAGATTTAAATTTATGGGAAGCGTTAAATGCCATTTTTTGTATAAGGTTAGAGCTCAGCAAAAACCATGGGCAGAACTAGAAATTTTTTTTTTTTTTTGGGGGGGGGGGGGGCGTAGGACACCTGGTCAAGGAATGTCTTGGAGACACTGAAATCACACTGTCGAGGGAGATTTTTGGAACTCCCACAGGTCCAATGGGGGGCTTGGAGGATCTCTTTAGTCTCAAAAGAGAGTCTGGGGTCCTCCTTCGAAAACTTTGCATAGTTGAGTCATTGCAGGAGCGGTTTTGAGCTGTCCTGAACAAAAAATTGGATTGCATTTTGCAAAAAGGAACCACTAGCATTGCAATGATGCTAAGATTGTGCAATTTCATCTTTTGCAATAAAATTGCGGAAATCGTGAAAAACTATGAAATTTAGATGGTAATTTTTGTCTTAAATTTACAGTTTTTAGCGAGTAAAATAGAAACTATTAATGGATAATCGGGTTTTTCCTCCAAGACAAAAGAAGTTGCAGAATCTTAGCAACATTGCAATGCTAGTGGTTTCTTTTTGCAAAATGCAATCCAATTGATGGAATGAAAATTTCAAAGGTCACATACCTTGGCTCCATAGTAGTTCAGTCCAAAGCAAGAACTTTAAAATTTCCCAGCAGATGAAGGTGTTCCTCTCATTTGAAATCAAATTATTCATAAAATAATATGATTTTGCACCCTATAAAATTCCTTTCCTCAGTTTCTTATGATGTGTTGATTTTGGAATAATTGCTAGTTGAAAGGCATATTGGTCTTTGCTTTTTTCTAATGCCCTGTCATGTTCCGCTGGAAAACTATTCTATCCAAAGTTTGATTAGTTAAAGTTAAATTAATAAGTCCTAGTGTAAAACTGAACAGCTGGCAAACGCTGTTCTCATTTGGAATGTAGTCAAAGGGTTGCATGCTTAAAAGTAGGCAAAGAATGAGACAGAGCATATGCATTAATATGTACACTCAGATTTTTGAAAGTGTGATTTCTGTAATAGGTTTCTGCTCACAATCTCAGTTAAATTATTTTTGTTGATGTTTCGTTTCTCTTTTTCAGTGTGGTTTCTTCAAGCGTAATCGCCCGCAAAACATCCCTGAAAAACAACCCTTGAACCGTAATGGAATTTATCAAACTGGAGATGAAGCACTGTAGTGAAATTTATCAAGGTTCCTTACATGTGCCTTCTGCCATTACCTCAATGTAGTCTCACGATTACTTTCTCCGGAAAGAAAAGAGCCGCCAATTTTCTGAATCGACAAGTCATAGGAGTATTTGCATAAGTTCTTCTAATTTAGGCGCAGTGTGATATTTGTTATAAATTAATTGCATCTAAAATTTGTTATCTGTTTAAAGTTTTAATAGATTTATTTATGTAGGTATTTCAAGTTACTTTTTTATGGTCATGTTGAAGCGTCAAATTCTAAAAACTAGATTTTTAATGCAGTCTTTATGGAGCCTTTTCATATGAATACCTATTCTCCACTTTCACAATTGAAGCAATTCTTAATGAAGAATACTCCATTTAAAGTGTAACTTTGTTCACTCAGCTGCCTCATTTTATTTTAATTTTAAGTGCCATTCTTACTTGCTCAACTATTAAAGTTTCACACTCAGTCTGCTCGGACGAACTCAACCTGAACTCAGCACAGTCAGTTTAGCTATGTCTAGTTGTTAAAACCAGTCTAGGTGCTAACCAAGTTTAAATTGAAGTTAACTTTTAAATCCAACCTGTGTCGATTCTCATACATGAAAGTAGTTCTTGCAATCTGAATTTTTCATCATAACTTCACTCCCCAATTTTTTTTTTTTTTAAACTTGAAATACTGACCCTGCAGCCATCATTTTTTTACTTATTAATTCACCCTCTTTTGTATTGCCTTTTAATGGGCTTTTGCTTGATCTTTAGTCAGTATTTTGATCAGAAATTTACTTACTGAAGAAATTCAGCACTCTTGAGTTCCTTTTTTATTTTTAAAGTATTATCCAACTGTGCCATGTGTTACATTTTAATTTTTGTCTGATCCTGTATCACGCTCTTCAGTTGGAAAAAAAAGAAGAAGAAAAATAATTATTAAAACTTTGAGTAAAGAAGCGATAGTGATAAGTTTAGTTTTGCTGTTTTCTTTTTCATTAGTGTGTTTGTAGAAGCAGGTTGTAGAAGCTGAATTTAGTTAAGAAAATTATTTGAAATCAGTGCAGGAAAATTGAACCATCGTTATCAATTGTCAAGTTTTTTTTTTAATTATTCACAGTAGATTGTTGATAATATAAAGTCGTAGAAACCCTCTGAAGAGCTTTAGACAAATAATCCTTTATTAGATTTTGAAAAGCAAAATTTTATGGATCTAATTTTAAAAACCATTTTTTCCATGGTTTGATACCCATTTTACAATTTTTTTTAGGATATTTGAGAAAAAATTATCAATGGCTACTGAATTGGTCAAATAAAGGAAAAGAAAAATAAATATTATTGTAAGCACAATACAATTCCCAGTCAAACTTTGAAAAACATTATATTGGGTACTTTTTTGTAATTATTCTTGTTTGTAGTTTCCTTTTTGTAAATAATTATCTTTATAAATAGATTACGTATGTACAACTTCAAACGTGATATTAAGAGAAACTCTCACTTTTGTCTAACTGTAAATGTAAAAACTAACATCTGTAATTAATGTGACGTGTGTATGCCCCCTGTAGTATTGTGTAAATTCAACTCAAGCATTTGAAATGAGAAGATGTAAATTTGTAAAACTATTTTTGTAAATTAAAACCGAATCACTAACATACTTTTGTAGAAGACGAAAAAAGTACTGCAGTCAATAAAGAATACTTGTTACAGATGTTTTGATGGTGAAACTAGAAGAAATACTTATTTTACTTCGAATTATGGTTACTTTTCCTTTTTCACTTAAAAAAATAGAATTTATGATAATTTCTATGATTTTCCATTACAACATAAAAAGATACTTGCGAAAGTTTTAAGAATTAAATTTAAAATTAGAGTAAAAATTCGGGAACACTGCAATCAAGATAGGAGCCGTTCGTAAAATATTTCCAGATTTTTAGACACCGCCCTCCTCCTCCTCTGTACCTTTTTTGTGATGGAGATCCTTATCCTTGAACGTGTAAAAATAAAATGGTGTAACGCTCCCCATGACCCTCCTCCCCTCTAGAGCAAAATGTATCTTATGAACGGCATGTATTCTAGTTTCATTATTGACAAGAAAAAGGTGAAGTAGTTAATGTAGCGAAGTCATCTTTAACCAACCTAATATTTTGATTTATAGACGCGCCTTAGTTTCATCAATTTTAAGGAAATTTTTAATGCGACAATTAACCTCAGAAAAAATTGTTAGTCTGCAATTTCAGGTGGTACATTCAAAAACTCGTTAAAATTACTTTGAGCCTTTTTGCTGAGAAGCAAAGGCCAGCAGTTCTGAATAGAATGCTTCAAAATCTGATTTACTTCATCAGAATTTTTAGTAAGTAATTCTCCATCTTCTTTAATCGGGTGAAATGCTGTGTTTAAAGTATTTGGAATCTTTTAAATTTTTACTGTGGTAGGAAGTTCTATAATGCACTTACTAAGCAACATTTTAGTATTTTTTGCAACCCCTACTGAAACTAAATCAGGTTTTGTAAAGAAATAAATAAAAAAGTTCAGTTAATCTTTGTTCTTAAGACTAACCATTAGGTATGTTTTTTAAGAATGAGTTTTTTTAGTCAACTGTAAATACTCTTAATGTTTAGGTTGTTTTTTTTTTATTAATTGTATCAACAATTTTTTGTTAACTGTGTAATAACTTCATCATTTTTCATTTTTTATTTATTTCACAACTGTGCATCTTCATTTTGTTTTGTGCTTTAGCATTTTCATGTCTGTGCCTCATATGTATAATTTATTGTAAATCATCTTCAGCGTTAAGCTTACTTTTTTGTGTGTGTACCAATACTGATTATTGGTCACATGGCTAATTTCTTAGTCCCCCTCCCCCCTCATCTTTATCTTACGTTAAAGACTTATCTTGGTCCATTAAAATAATCATTTTATGGAAAATTCTGTCCCATATCTTGCCATCAACACAAGACAACGTATTGATAAGTTTTCAAGTTACCATTCTTTTTTTTTGGAGGCTCTAGTTGTTGTAGTTTACTTTTTGCTGGTCTGACTTTTTTTCAGAGCTGTCAAGAAGTCTATTTTGCTGATAAAACAGTTAATAGAATCGCAATTTGGTCTCTGTCTATATAGCTTTTCCCAGGTAATAAACAAAACAAAATAGCTTATCTCCGGTATGAAAACCATTGATTCTAAACAAGAACTCTTGCTCCATCTAGTCTAAATTTATAAAACAACTTAAAACGCGTGGATATTAGATAGATAATTGTATTTATCAATGATTGTTCTGGATTATGACATAGTTTGCAGGGCAAATCAGATTTCTAAATGACCTAAAGCAGTGTTGCCATGATTTCAATCACTCTTAATAGCTTTGAAAAGCACAGCAAACAGTAAAGACATTTTTACTCTGTGGAAGGTACCTTAAATAAGACAACAATGAAATACGCATGAGAATTTAATTTTTAGTGGGCATTTAAGCAACACATAACGCCATTTTTTCAATTTTTTTAGTTTTCCCTCTCCTAGTGAGTCCCCCCTTTGATGAGCCCTCTCTCTCTCTCTCTCTTGCGGCAAGAACCCTCATTCTGAAATCAGACCTGCCATTGTGGTAATGTAATGGTGGGTAAGACTCCCCCTTTCCCAATTTTCATTGGTTAATTTGATGAAATGTAGACATTAAATCCTTTCTCCCTCCACAATTTGAAATTTCACTGAATCATAGGTTGTAGCACCTTCTTTTTCCTGTAATGTCTCATCGTCCAAGCTCAGACCCTACACCCCTCCCTAAGTGCATTATGTTTTACCTAAATGCTCCTATCTGTTAATTTTTACCTAGTCACTAATCATTCATCCATTTCCATTGCCAGTCAATGAACCGATTGTAAAAACATCGATTTTGTAGTTAAGATAATTTATTTCGTATTTTTAACACTACCTTATCATTAATCTTGGAGAGATTCGAATACAATGTGTTTCATCCATTTGTAATGTACTTATTTGTTTTAGTGTTTGTGAATAGATTAACTGTTTAACTGTTGACAAAAAAATTAACTGTGAATTGAAAATAGTAAATTATAATTAAGTAAATGCACAGTATTAAGTAGGTCAACTTATTATTCTCTTTTTGTATCATGTATGATCCAGTGGGACGTTAGTAAATTTCTACCTACTCTGGTCATATTTTGTCCTCAGTAACGTACCAGCTTCAGAGATATTGTATCATTCGGGATGTATACTTTTCAGATCCACTATGATGAATGCTGGAAAAGTCTGCTAAAGTACTGAAAATAAATTCTGTTTATGCTTTAAGCCAACCATATGCTTCGCTCTGAAATTAATATTTTGTATCTAAAATTTTATCTTGTAATTTTTAAGAAATCTAAGCCCATGAAAGTTTTTTTAGTGGATCGGAAATTGTGATTTTTTGGTATGGCTGTAATTTTTCGTTGAGGAAAATTTAGACTCTGTAATAAGTTTCGCACTATGTCCTAGTGCATCCCAACTTAATCGCTTTCCTTTTTTTGTCCAAGTAAACTTTCTCTGGTTGCTTTTTGTACCAAGCAGACTCTAAGAGCCGTTGTCATAGTTGTTTCTGAAACTTTAAGACCTCTTTTAGCCATAAGCAATACTTTGCCAGAGGGAGCCTTTGAACTAGAGTATGCATCCCCAAGGGGCGTGGAATAAGATATCTAATACGAGGTTACAAGTATCCATAGTAAATTTTAACTATCATGCTTAGTTCTCACTGTGCAGTCTGAAATCTGGTGCTATGAGTGTAGTCATTTGTGTCGGGAGGGAGAAAATTCTTTTGTTTGTTTTAGTGTTGGTACCTCATCATCAGTTTCCCTCTACAGAGAACAAAATGTAAGTTCTCCAAGAAACATTTTTTGGGAACCAATGCAAGTATAAAACGCTGATAAAAAAAATGTGAATGGAAAATATCATAACCCTCTTAACTGAAGTATTTCTGTTGAGAATATGCTTTGTTAATGTTTACAAGTGTAAAATCAAATTTCATCAGTTTTTAACAAATTTTGCCTGACTTAGACCAAAAAAAATTTTACTTACATTTTAATCCATCAATCGAATTTTTCTGCGTTAATTTTGGTGTCATTTTAGTCACCTATTTAGCAGGCATTTTTGATTGATCATTTTATTTTTTTAAATCAACCTTCTATGCAGATTTCCTCAATTTCATTCCTCACAGAACATTTACAAATATTTTCCTCTCAAGAAAATGTCTATGCAGATTAAGTAAGCACCTACCTATTTTAACTTAATTTTTAAATTGTTTATTTTTAATAAAATGACTAAAATTTTTAAATTGTGCTTTTTCTTTGAGCCTTCCGTATTACCTTAGATATTTAATTTATTCAATACCTCAACTACCTGTATAATAGCAGTATTTGCTTCAGCTTATACAATAATTTTTATTACTAATTCTGAGAGTAACTCAACATTGACAAAATTGGGTCATCTGAAGTCTCAAAGGTTTTCGACAGAAAATAAAATCCAATCACCTAGTTAGAGACCTTGCGAATAGAGAGGCGTCTACCCAAGATCCCATGTTACATGATAATTGCGTTTGTTAGTTGTGGTTCAGTTAGAAGAACCTGCAAGCGAAACCATGTATCCTTCCATGCATACCTATTTTTGAGTTTGGGAAAGCATGCTAACTTTGACGGCAAACTGCACAATGCAACTGCATAAGCATAATACATATGATACACCTTGTTGTCTCCATAAAGTTTTCAATAAATTTTGTAAATGTTTTATGGTCTGGGGAAGAGAAAAGTTAAATTTAGTTTTTTGACGTGAGTGTATTAAAGTCACTTAAAAATAAAGCTTTTAGGGGCTTGATTCAAAGGGAGAAACCTTGATAGATATACTAAGCGCCTCCATTTTTATCCCCCCCCCCTTCAACCAGGAAAATACTAAAAAAAAAAGACATCAAATTCCAACTGGTTTTTTGTTTTGTTTTTCAAACAAACAGGACTGCAAACAAGGAAAGGTTGTCTTTGAAGTGCAAAACCTACTCTGGTTTTTATTTGATTTGCCCAATTATTTACTTAATCATATTTTATAAGCAAGATGTCTAGTTAGTGTTAGTTTCAGTGGAAACACGAAACAAGATTTTTAATCATCAATCGTATCGTGCTAGACCAAAAGAAGGAAGAAAAAATATAGGTATATACAAAACGGTTTTAACACATCAGTGTTGTAAAGCACGTCTACATCTAGGTCTGTATTAGCCGAGGGTAAATTGATTTTGAAAATGAACAGATAATAAATACAACATATCGACGGTGTATTTCGGCAATCACATAACTCGTTTGCGGTGTCTGAAAATCTCTGCCTCTATGGTATTTTTTTAAAGGAGAACAAACTGACATCATTCCTTGAAGTTTTTGCAGAATTTTCTCCGCACAGAGAAGAAAAATCACGGCAGTTTTAAAGAATTGCCGTTGAGTAGTTTTCCGTTTAAAAAATAAAGTATGACAGGAAGTCTGCAACGTCGCAAACCGAGTTTTGTGACTGCCGACTTACCTACATCGTCGGTATCTTGATTGTAAGGATAGAAACTTTTGGAAAAGCCACTAAAGGACGTTAGGCCATGTCCGCCATCTTCAGTTTTGGAATTTTAAAAATTTGACCAATGATTCGAGTTTCCCGTCGAAGAATACCCTCTGATACCGAGTTTCACAAAAATCGATAGAATAGGAACCGATATAGCATTTTAGGCCATCATGACCTTCGATTTCGGAATTTTGAAAATTTGACCAAAAATTTGAGTTTCTCGTCGAAAAATACACGTAACACTAGCTTTTACAAAAACTGATCGAAGAGTCGTCGAGATGAGAGAGAAAGCCACGTCAGTCATTTCAGATTTTCGAAGTTGGAATATTTGAATTAAAACGCGTGATACCCAAAATCGAAGCTCAGATTCGGATTCCTCGTTAAAAATCGATACAATTGCATGTATCATACCCTGACACCGAATTTCAGAAAAATCCATCGAACAGGAGCCGAGAAGCATTTTAAGGCACGTCAGTCATTTCAGATTTTCGAATTTGGAAAATTTGACTTAAAACGCGTGATACCCAAAATCGAAGCTCAGATTCGGATTCCTCGTTAAAAATCGATGCAATTGCATGTATCATACCCGAGCATAGCGCGAAGGAAAGAGACGTAACGAAGGCATACTGATTCGAGCATATGAATGCAACGTGGCAACATGGGTAGTGCTCAGTGGGTCAGCGGAGGAGGAAGAAGAATTTATCGTGAGAAATTCCTCGCGACGAAACCGAACGCTTAGCCGGCGCTAAAAGTGGCGCCTCCCCGTTCGGTTTCACTCGGGCGACAGGCGGCGGCGTAGTTCAAAGTGGAAGTACGACAGAATCTATACGCGTCGTTAAACCTTTTTCCTTCACGCTATTCTAACATATGATACATGAAATCTCATCAATTTTTCACGAGGATTCCGAATCTGAGCTTAGATTTTGGATATTACGCGTTTTAATCTAATTAAAATCTTTAGAGAATTTACAGAATTGTCCTTGAAAATTGATCACACATTAGTGTTTTTTTACGTCATTAAACCTTTTTCCTTCACGCTATTCTAACATATGATGCATAGAATCTCATCAATTTTTCACGAGGAATCCGAATCTGAGCTTAGATTTTGGATATCCTGCGTTTTAATTTTCTAAAAGTTGTGGGAAAATTTACAGGAGTATTCTTGAAAAACATTACGCATTAGTGTTTTCCCCCTTTTTCCTTGTTTCTTTTACTTCTATCAGGACGATCAAAGATGAAAAATCTCTGTATCCATCAGTCTAAACATCGTACTCATGAAATTTAATAAACTTTTAATTAAATCGAATAAATGCCACCGAAGTTCCCTTTAAATTACGGACAAATTCATCCCTCTATTACTAATCCCTTCACCTTTCCCCTAAAAAAGTACCCAACGCTAAACAACCCCCCCTCCCAAGAAAATTAGGCGATGAAAATGATTTTAGCGGATGGAGCGTCTGCCCCCCCCCCCCTATTATGGATGTCATGCAATTTTTTGGGGAGGTATTGCTTCCGTTTGAACTTGGCGATGCGTAGAGAAAGTTACGGAGAGAGGGAGGGAGGAAGATCATGTGGACGTAATTCTGCCAAACGGAACTATGTGCATTATGACCGTGAGCCCTGTTATGCATATATTCTTATGGGTCTCAGGGCTCATGTCTTAATGCGCATGGTTCATGGAGTTTTTAGCCATAAGTCCCCATGAATCCCCTTCGGGAACTGCGCACTGTGGTCCGATGAAGTTGAAAATTGGACATGTTTTCAAAAATTCACCACGAAGCAAGAAATGGACCTAGAAAGTTCATTTTTTTGAAACTGTAGGTAATTGAGTCTACTTTTCGAATAAACTATACTTTTTAATGTTAAAGTAATTTAAATGTGAGTAAAATTGAAAGAAATTGAAAATTGAGAATTATTGATCGGCATTTTCTGTATTTACGTCCTTATGAAGACCCGGATCGAAAAATATCCTTCAGTAAAAGTTGTAGATCGACCGAGTTTATGGGTGGTGATTTGTGTGGACGGCTGCGCATTTGACGAAGCTGATGGCCATGCTGTGCATCTTGGAGAACCATACTTTGGAATGTGATTTGGGGCGATGATTTGTGTGGTCGGCCACGCTTTTGACGGAGGTGATTGCCATGCCGTGCATCTTGAAGAACAATACTTTGGAATGCGATTTTGGGCGGTAAATTTTGTGGACGGCTATGTTTTTGACGAAACTGATGGCCATGCCGTGCATCCTGGAGAACCATACTTTAGAATGCGATTTGGGACGGTGATTTGTGTGGTAGGCTACGCTTGATGAAGTTGTTGGTCATGCCGTGCATCTTGGAGAACCATACTTTGGAATGCGATTGGTCATGCCGTGCATCTTGGAGAACCCTACTTTGGAATGCAATTTGGGGCGGTGATTTGTTTAGTCGGCTACGCTATTGAGGAAGCTGATGGCCATGTCGATGTAGGAGATTAGGCCAGATTTCCATAATCATGGCGGTATTTAGTCGGCCAGTATGGTGATAGGCTTTCGACCTGCGAACATCACGTTTCTTTGTTAAAGCCTAAAATTTTTGTGATTTACTTCCTGAGGTCGCTACGCGGACCCATACAGAAACTATCTCCGAACGCATTCTGCTCGCCGCTAAAATGCGGGAATGAAGCGCACAACTCTCTAAACTCGGGGGTAAGTATGTGATACGGTATCACGCGGAACGGAAGGAAAATCTTAGCCTTTGTTCCCGTTTGAAATTTCTGAAGATTATTAATAAGGGCATTATACTCGCATCAATAAATCGAAAACCAAGTGAGCAACTATTGGCACCCCGGAGTAGGTTTGAGATGTGGTATCACGCGAAAAAGAAGGAAAATATTATCTTCTCGTCAGTTTAAAATCACTAACGATCATGAATGAACGCATTCTGCTCGCTGCTCGCATTCGTGAATGCGGGGATCAAGCGTACAACTCTTTGAACTTGGGGGAAGGTATGTGATGTGGTATCACGCGAAAAGGAAGGAAAATCTTAGCCTTTGTCCCCATTTAAAATTACTGTCGTTTATTAATAAAGGCATTATGCTCGCATCGATAAATCGAAAACCAGGTGAGCAACAGTTGGCACCCCGGAGTAGGTTCGAGATGTAGTATCATGCAAAAAGGAAGGAAAATATTATTTTTTTATCAGTCAAAAACCACTGACGTTTATGTATAAACGCATTCTGCTCCCTGCTCGCATCTTATACAGCAAAGCAATTGCTATCAGCAAGGCAAGGATTGATCTTATTGCCTTCTCTTTTAAGTACGTATTGAAATTAGATAATCATTATGATGTGCGGTCCTGCCCGAATTGTTGTTGGCTGGGATCGACCGTATAAGACGGAAACTTAATCAAGTTAGTTTTGATTAAGAACTTGCAAGTAAAGTGATATATTAAATCAGTGATTCTGCGGGTGAACCGAATGAACGCGATGAAACTGCCGTAGGCAACTCTTACTGCTCCCTGGTCGCTTATATTGCCTGAATAGAATATTGAAGGCGAAATAGTCAGAATGGGAATGGTTGCCGAACACTTAATTAGAGTATCAGTTTAGCTCTAGCTAATGCCGTAATTAAACTAAATTATCGCCGTCAAACTGCCTCAAGCTATTATTATTGCTCTCAAGTCCCTTAAATTGCCTGGTCAGGAGATTGAAGGCGAACCGGTCGAGGTGAGTGTGAAACATCGTCAGTGGAGTGCTAGGTATGCGTCTGCAGCCATAGTGGACGTAAACAAGTACACAATTTTTCTTCTTATTCTTCTATTTTACAACACTCATCTCCAAAATATACAAATAAAAAATAGAAGCAAACTGAACAAAAAAAAATTAAAAATCACTTCTGTGCCGCCTGTAAGAATAGACTGGTTGAGTCGAAGTCAGGCACTTTTTTTGGCCCACATTGATACCGGCTGGGGACTGGAGAACCAAAATTCTCTCTTTTTAAACATAAACATAACCAGCAATTTATTAAGTAGAAGTTAGGGAATACCATAGACAGAGGGAATAAAAAAAATGATATCGTTATCAAGACACACGAGTTTAATCAGAGAGCAAGATGTTGACCTGAAATCGAACAAATGTCATGAAACCTCTTCGATCAGACTATCAGTCGTGACGTGTCTCTTGCATTGATATTTTGAACCGAATTAATTAGTTCGCGAGGTGAGAACAAGGAGCACGCCTGCTGAAAAAAGGTAAGTGCCGTTGGAGGTATACATTTTAAAGAGAGGAATATTTGCGGTCATATGTTTTGTCTTGGTTAAATTTTTGATACGCCGGTCTCATTGGACAACCAACCAAAAACTATTAATAATGGTACCTAGTAAATTTTACATCCATTGCAAACCATGTTTTTATGTTACAAGTGCCTAAGTGTGTTTCTCGGAAATCACGATTTATTTCAAGAGAGAAAAAAATTCTAGTTTTCCTTGAAATGTTTAACACATGTTTGTAAATTTTTAGTAGATATCTTTAGATAGAGATTAGAGTAGATTTTTTAGTGTTGCAATGAATACACGAATTTTCCGACTTAAATCTTCGATGTACACAACTTTAATGAAGCAAGTGTAATTTGAATCCGTGTTAGGCCCATGCGGAAAAATGATTAATTCCCATATTTTCACACTGCAAAGACTTTTTGCGGTGACGTTTAGTCTTAGTGCACGATTTGACTCTTCTCTTTTTTCATGAGCGGGAAGTTTGGATTCACGCATCGAAAAACGTTAAGTGTCCTAGTTAGGAGTTATCTCCTAAATTTAGTTATCTACGGAGTTATCTACGAAAATTACTGAAATTGTCCTCAGTAATTTTCGTCGCGTAAATCGTGTTTTTCGTGAAATTTTAATCAGGAATCGTGTATCAGAATACTTAAATTCGCATGTCTCGTTTAGTGGTCCACTTGTGCTTTTAATTATAGCTACGATGATTCAGATTAAGATTACTGGAGTTAATTTTTCAGGAAACGAGAGGTATACTACTTCTCCATTTACGTCACACACAAATTGTCCATCACATAGAACGTCACATGGTACGTGGCACTGTCCATCACATGAAAAAAGAAGAATTTTTTCAGAAAATTGATTTCCCCAAAAATCACATAGCATAAAGATTCCCCTGCTTGATCAACCAACGCAGTTTAGTGAAAGAGCATTTCCGGATGCTTCAAACTAATTGGATTTTCAAATTTCGAAAATCTTACATTGCCATCAATTTCCCTAGCTTTCGGGCATCGTATATCACGTTCCTGTACATCATTAACATTTTATTAGTTTCCAATTTTTGATGAAGATGAAAATTGAATTTCTTTAAAGAGGAATGGCACTTCCTTCTACCCGCGATAATCGGTCAATATTTAAAAGTTAACAGAAAGAATTAAACGATCTATTATTGATCCATCGAACCCTATGCTTTTGACGCCCTTTTTTTATTCCACGTTTTGACACACTCTGAATAAACACCCTGATTTTCTTCATTTTGCAGATGGCGATATCCTCACATAACGTTAATAGTTTTTCCCGATCACTTAACCGGTTTGTTTTACAGCTGGTGACATCGTTACTCGTCGCAACGGTTTTCAACTCATGTAAGACATTCATTAATGCAACTAGGTAACTACTGGATAATCAATTAAAGTTCTGCTTCTATGCATACATTTAAGACACTCATCATTATGAAAGCTGTAACAAAGTATGCGATGAAAAGTGGAAAATAACCCTGGTAAACAAATGATTAATTTAATGGCAATATGTTTTCGAAACCGAGTTATATTAACTCAGTACAGAAGGGAACATAAAGAACATCAGATAAAGTATCAAGAACTTCCTCGTCCAACAGGTCAAGAAACATACCAGTTGTTGCCTTAGCAAGAAAATCTGCAAGAAATACAATTTTACAATTGGACATGATTTTAAGCTCAATCATAGTTCAAAGTATTGTAGAGGCTTCCTTCTAACTCGAAAATAAAATCCTCAAAGGTGTAAATTACAAGATTATGCTCAGTCAAAGCGCACGTCTTGGCTATACTGACTCGCCCCAATTTATTTTATTTTTTTTATTTTTTTTTTAAATTTGTTAAATATTTGATGCTATACATTAAGATGTACACTGAAAAAAAAGTGAAGTTGATTTAACATTCTGGATGTAAAAAAAGTGTGCGAGAACTTACAAAATGCTGAATTAACTTCCACAGTAGTAATTTTAGCAATGTCAAGATGTAAAATTAACTGCCGTAGCGGGTAATTTAGCTTTTTGTGAGTTATCGCACAATTTTTTTACATCCATAATGTTGTATCAACTTCACTTTTTTTTCGGTGTATAGTTGAAAGCACCGATGTATGTAGATAATTTTATTTTTTCAGAGGTATCCTTTACAAACTTATGCTGAGCTCCGCGGCAGGATTACGGAGTAAATTCACACTTGTAAAGTAATGTACATGCTTGTTGCAGGCGAGACCCAAGGTTGGCTAGACCTCCAAGAATCCTCAGTAGAAAATGAGAGTCAAAATACAGTACCACTAAAGCCCTTGGTCCCTTTGAGTAAGTAGAAAATGTAAATGGATTGAACAATTTGAAACGCATCGATCATCTTTTACCAAATTTAAGTAACCCAGACCACAAAATCACAAGAATTCCACATAAGTCAGTAAATGAAAAGCATGTTGCTTGATGTGGAGATGCACCTTATCAATGGCAATGATCCCTTAGAATTGGAGCTTTTACTTCATTTTGGCAATTTTTGTTAACATTTGGGGCCCTAGCAAAGTTAATACCGATTGCCGAAAAGTCTGTAATCAATACTTTGATATAAAAAATTACTCTCCTGCTCTGAAATAAAAGTTGATGATAGTTAACCAACAGGAAGTTTTTGGTCAAAATTTTAATTAGTATATAAATTGTATGTTTTCCTCTCTTCGTTATTTTTTCTCTTTTTTGGGTATAAATTAACTCAATGACATAAATTCATTACTGTATGTAGATTTTTATTTTCTTTATTGTGAGTCCCTGTTTATCGCTAATATCCGAACATAACACTTCAATTTTACATGGCCACTGTGTTTCAGGGTTTTTCTGTTCAGTAGCCTGCGCTTTGAATGGATTGAAAGAAATCAATCACGCATAATGCAGAATTCATACCTATAAAATTGGGTCCGGCAAAACTGCAGCACACGTAGGGCACCATTGCCACTTGCTTAAAACAGACATTGTGTCTTTACGGACTTTTTAAGATATTAATTTCGTTTTCCACATTTGATTTCACTTGTTCAATGAAAAATTTTCTGACTTTTACAGACACATTTAACCATTTCATGCTGAGTGTGAAAGCGGATAACTCTAGCACGGCAGGAAACTCATCCACATCTGGAACGAGTAAGCACAACCCCTTCATTCTTATCTGACACTTTTTTTTTTAAAATTTAAATGTAACTTGTATTGTTTAAATAACAAAATTGTGTGAGTATGTATCACACTGTTACATTAATTTATAGAGGGTGTCATAAAGTGCTATATATCCCTCTGTAACTACATTGTAAAAGATAAACTTAAACAAATAAACAACTGCATGCTAAAAGCATTAACGAAAAAACAAAACCCCAAAAAGGGGAAAAATAAAAGACGGATTCCACTGAGCTTAAGCTTAAGCTCTCTCTTTGAGCTTCTGTATGCTCGGAAACGCGTCTCTTTCTGAAATTTACCCAATAATGACCTAATTTTAAGGAAATATGGACGTATTTATGCTGGAAGGAACTATGTGCATAGGATTTTCATGAGACTTAGTTCCTTTTAGCATAAATACGTCCATATGTAAATCCTGCATCAGTCTCATTATGAGATTGAGATAAGATTATTAGGATATATTTCAGTCATGTATAGTTTAGAGTCCTTTTCCCGTGAGAAATTACAAATAGACCAGTATGCGACCACCGATAAAGAGAAAAGACATTGGTGCCAAAAAACTTAAAATCTCGCAAAAGTTTGGACATTTTTTGCAGAAAATGTCAAAAAAATGTCAATTCCAACTGGAACTTTGCTGATTTTGAACTTATACCTAGTTGAGACAAAAAAATAATAAAATAAAAAATAGCTCGAAACAAAAGTTGTTTGAAATTTTTATCCGCTATAGTCGAGGCCAAAAACCGGGGAGTAAAAATATAATATCTTCTTGCCCTTCTGTGGGACGAAAATCGTGTAAACTTACATAACTTCACATATGAGATACTTGAACGAATATTTGACCAAACTTGATACAACTTGATCTCCTGAAAAATTTACCTCCCGGTTATTACATAGGTTGTCCCAAAAGTACTGCACGTTTTTTTCTTATTGACGAACGGTAGTAGATATCAAAATGCGGTTTGTGTAGTCTTAAAGACCAGCCAATTACCGATAAAACAAGACAAATCCGAGCTCTCTAAGTCAAAAAATGACCAAGTTACAGCGTTTTGAAAATGACTTGTAGAGGGGACCCCTACGGGATTTTCAGCTTCTTTTCTGGGAAAAAAACAAAGAATTAAGGATTCAAGTGGTTTTATTAAATCAATTTTGCAGAATCTTACCAAGATTACTAGATTTTACTCTTCTTCACTGGATGACTGGTCACTAGTTTCCTTCTCAAAATACCCTCCATCACTTGCCACACAGCGCCGCAACCGTCTTCCCAATTCTTCAAAGATGGTTTTTTCGAATTCTTCTTGCCTAATGTTCTTTAAGAAAGTTTCAACAGCTCTTTTCATCTCGTTGATGGAGTTAAAATTCCTGCCTCTTAAGCCCTTTTTCAACGTAGGGAATAACCAAAAATCGCAGGGTGCACGGTCCGGGCTGATATCATGTTACCAACCTCATTCGATCACGACGATTTCTCTGTAGAATTTTTGATCAATCAAATCTTTGTTTTTCCCAGAAAAGAAGCTGAAAATCCCGTAGGGGTCCCCTCTACAAGTCATTTTCAAAACGCTGTAACTTGGTCATTTTTTGAATTAGAGAGCTCGGATTTGTCTTGTTTTACCGGTAATTGGCCGGTCTTTAAGACTACACAAACCGCATTTTGATATCTACTACCGTTCGTCAAAAAGAAAAAAACGTGCAGTACTTTTGGGACAACCTATATACAATCTATTTCACTGTGTAAAGTTTCAACTGAGAAACCGTTGCGCTGCCAGGCATTTTCCCGGGGCAGGGAGCTACGGTCGTAAAATGTGTCATGGGCAAAGGGGATCAAAGTAAAGAAAATCCCGCAAGTAACGAAAAATTACTTTTTTGGGAGAATATTTTCCAATCTATGAGGGGGGGGGGTATCTTAGGCCCTAAGGCTCCTAGCCCTCGGCTAAGTCACTATAACTGTATTTATGCTAAAAGGAACTATGTGGAAGTGAAAAGATGGGGTACGCTTGTGGAAGCTGCAGAAGAATCAATGTAAAAGTGAATATAGTTCCTTTTGAGAAATTTGAAAATCGGGATTTGACATTAAATCAAAAGGGATTGAACGCCAACTCGTGAGCCGTGGACATGTGACAAGAGCCTTGTGGACAGACAGGGCTCATGAGTTATAGACGAGCGAGCACGACAACGGAGACGGCTTCGTTGCCGCTGACGTCACTGGCGCTTTTAAATCCCCATTCATTCTTTTGGCTTGAACATTAACGAGCACACCCCATCTTTCCATTCGCAAATAGTTCCATTTAGTATAAATACGTCCATCGTCCAACTGCCACGGAGAAAAAAACTTCGTGCATGGGACCCGAAGTTGAGGTCATATGGATCTCTGAAGTTTTCGGATCCCCCATCCGAAAACTTGAGGTCCAACTGCCGACGTTCGGGTCAGACATCCGAAGCTCTCGATATGTACCAGAGTATTTCAGATGTGTGACCTGAACCCTTCGGGATATACCGAAGTACTTCAGAAGTCTGATCCGAACTTCGACAGTTGGACCTCAAGTTTTCGGATGCGTGATCCCAAAACTCCAGAGATCCACATGACCTCAACTTCAGGTCACATGCACGAAGCTTTTCTCTCCGTATGTAAGGTTACTAATAAAAACAATATCCCGATATTTCAGATTCGACAGAGAAGCCGTATGAAATCCCGTTGGCAGGCCTCCTGGTTCTAGCTCGTTTCGACGAGTTCAAAGCTCAACTGGAGGACGCTTTAAAAGCTTTCATCGCAGCCGGGAACGACGCGTCAACGAAACTCCACTACGAGGTCTTCGTTTTCGCCTCGTTCTACCCGATCTCCAAGATCTACAGCTGCGTGCCAATCGGAGGAGAGAGCGAGAAGAGGGTTTGCGAGCACATCCTCATGCCGAATCCAGAGGGAGGGGCCATCAGCGCTTTCGTCATCAAATACCTTTTGGCCCCGAGCGAAGACAAACTTCAAGCCACCGCCGACGAAGGGTTGAAGCAAATGCTGGCCCACCGCATCGACGGGACTCTCTTGAAAAATAATATGCACGTTCAATTCGTGCACAGCCTTTGCCTCTCGTTCCATAAAACGAGTGTCGGCCTAGCGCACAAGAAGGAAGTTAAGGATGAGATAAAATTCTGAAGCTGAATTCGAATCGTCACCTTCCAGCCGAAGTATCGCAAGCGCCATGTGACACTCGAAAAAAAAATACATCGGATCTAGAATCCAGACCCTTAAAAACATCGACAAGAAAAAGTACTCTTGATTCAATCAGAATCCAGCTTAAATCAAGAACCAAGCCTCTTAATTTAAGCGGAGTTCGTTTTGATTCAAGCAAAAATCCGATTGAATCAAGAGTATTCTTTCTTGTCAATGTTTTCAAGAGTCTGGACTCTAGATCCAATGTGTTATTTTTTTTTCCAGTGGACGTTCAAAAATTTCCGCCGCCATTTCATTTTTTTACAGAGAAATTGTTGGTTGAATCTATTTGAAAATGTCACTGAATTTCATCGGGAGCACCAAGAAAATTCGGTGAAAGTTTTGGATAGCCTCGTTGAAAAATTTCTCCGTAAAAAGATAAAATGTCGGCGGAAATTTTTGAGCGTCGCATGGCGCTCGTGATACTTTGGCCGGAAGGTGACGAAGTGAGAAAAGGCGAATTTTTGCAAGTGAATTTTGTTCATATACATACCCAAGTAGGAACGGAAAAATCGCGATATTGCGAAATTAAGTTGCAATTTTTTGGTGACGAAATTATTAGGATCATTAACATCGGAGCGATTTTCCTCGATCTTTGCGCGAAAATTAAGTTCTGTAGACATATCTCTGTGTGGACGATACCTTTCATTTATAAGAAAAGAACGAAAAAATTATGTATAAGAATAAACATGAATGTGGTCAAATGATTTTAATCTCCGCCACCGCTCCAACCGCAATGTGTTTGACGTAATGCGTGAAGTATCCCTACAGTCTTGTAGGCGCTATGCGTTTCACGCTGACCACTGCTGACCAAGTGACCACCCTGTTTTTGACGTAATGCGTGAAGTATTCATGCAGTCTTGTAGACACTATGAATTTCACGCCAACCACTGCCGACCGTACTGCGTTTGACGCAATATCGTCTACTTCGTAATCTACATCGTCTACTTTGAAGGACACCAAAACGACAGCGGCCTATTTATTACGCAGGAAAATAGTAAAACCAGGCATTTTGACAAACATTCTTACTCAACTTTACTCGCGTTTGGCACATTTTTTGTGAAAGTCCTGTCAACACTAGCAAAAGTTCACCGAACTTTTCTCGAAAATTCAGTTCCGTAGACCTATCTCTGCGTGGACGATGCCTTTCATTTATAAGAAAAGAACGAAAAAATTATGAATAAAAATAAACATGAATGTGGTCTAATGATCTGAATTTCCGCAACCGCGCCAACCGCACTGTGTTTGGCGCAATGCGTGAAGTATCCCTACAGTCTTGTAGGCGCTATGCGTTTCACGCTGACCGCTGCTGACCGAGTGACCGCACTGTTTTTGACGCAATGCGTGAAGTATTCATGCAGTCTTGAAGGCACTAAGAGTTTCACGCCAACCGCTGCTGACCGCACTACGTTTGACGCAATGCGTGAAGTATTCATGGAATCTTGTAGGCGCTAACATGTGTCTCATGCTGACCGGTGCGCCGATAGGGCTTCTCCTTTCCATCTCAAGTTCTCGTCATCATTGCTCTCTGCGCCGCGCCGCGCCACTCCAGGCCAAACTACGTGTTTGGTTTCTCTCTCAACTAGACTAATGAAAGGCGCTGTCTCTTGTATCACCGAAAGACGAACTAATTAGAAATTACTTTACTTTAACTCTCAGGAAATGAGAGATTTTTTCGCCTTCTCTCATTTGTAATTTTTTTTCTGAATAAGATATTTTTCTTGATACCTACATTCGAAAAAATTACAACATTTGCCGCCCCCTAAATTTGCCGCCATGGGCCGCGGCCCATGTGGCCACCCCCTAAATCCGGCTCTGCGTGTGGTTCTTATTTGAACTTTCATTTAAAACAAAAGTTTGTGAATACTTTTGTCTGATCTCAACTCGCAAACTCAAAAAAAGTTTTGAAAATTAAAGCTGCTGGTGAAAAATCATCCTTACTGCATAAGAGAGCCCACTTCCGTTTTCAGTCATGCTCTTATTTGATGAGGTCCTCATTAAGAGGATAGGGCTGAACGCAGGGCTGTTTCTTTTTGGGGGGGACCTCAGGTGAAAAGGAGGCGATTATGGCAATAAGTATACCCTTTCCCCGTGAATGATGGCTTATGTGAAGCGTTAATAAGCGCGTGAGTGATTTCTTACTGACAAGTGAATTATTTTATTTTATGAAATATGAGAATACAATTAAGTTATAAAGTAGATGAATTTTTTCTGTGATCCATAGTGGGTGCTGTAATTAGTATAAATCACCTTTTTTGTCTAATTTGTACTAAACTTTTCGGTTTTATATTGGTTAGCTGATAGATTACATTAAATTTTTGAAAATTTGAATTTATTATTTTGAGAAATAGGTACTGCTAAAATTCTGAAGAGCGCATAAGTTCCTAGATTCCTTGTCTTAAGGGTAACTTTATTTTCATAAACTTTCATAGCAACTCATTCTTTAACATATGGAAACAAAATCTTTCTAATTTTCAGACAAAATCTAGCATTTTGTTTGAAGCCATAAATATTATGTCTGAAAGTGAATGACACAATCAAATAAATGAAAGCACAGTCAAAACCAATTTTTCAATGTTATGGTGTTTATTTTTTTCAAAAAAGTTACGCACAATATAGCACTAAAAACAACTGATTCAGGCTTTGATATCTGATTCATATCTTTGCTCATTATGCAAAGTATAATTTTTTAATTTAACTAATTTTCCAAGGACACTCCGAATGCAAATAAATTCATTACAGGTGTGAACGACGTACTGAGATTGACATGACGATTATCATTCTCCTGGCGTAATTACTCTGGTATTCAGCCTAATAAGTGTAATAGGTACGAGTATGGGGCCATTGAGAACCGAGGATGTGGAATGAATAAGAGGTTTTCATGCGAGGACAACTGACAGGGTTCGGGAAAGCGACGGGATGGCTGAATGCGATGGATGCCAACACGCAAATTCCGGAGTCACTAACGTGTCCTCTTTCCTGGCCAAATTTTTATCAATTTTTTTCAATTTTTATTTTTTATTTTTATCGCCATTTTCTCTCAAATAGCCCTATTTTTCCGCTTTAAAGTATCTTATTTTCTCCCTGGTGGTTTTCTTCATGCATTTCTTTTCATTGTAAAAAGCCCCTTTTATTGATGGCATTTTCAGTGAAAAATAAACAAACAAAAAAACCTTCCTCTATTTAGGGGGATGTATAAAAGTAAGATGGTTAAATATCGTCATCGCTAAATAAGATTGCAGAGTAACTCATTCAGGAAAAGAGGGGCGGTTTTTTTAGTGCTATGCATTCATCAACTACATTGGAAAAAAACAAAAAAAAACATTGGATCTAGAGTCCAGACTCTTGAAAACATTGACAAAAAAAAGGATTCTTGATTCAAGCAGATTTAAGCTTAAATCAAAAGGAAATCCGCTCAAATTAAGAGACTCGGTTCTTGATTTAAGCTTAAATCTGATCGAATCAAGAGTATTTTTTCTTGTCGATGTTTTTAAGAGTCTGAACTCTAGATCCAATGTGTTTTTTTTCCTCCAGTGTAAGATAACCTACGCCTTCATTTTCTGACAGTACTGTCGAAATATCTCGGTGACCTCTTTGTTCGGTGTTATAACGAGAAAATCGCGATCAGGTTTGGTGCGCGACTGCGTTTTATCGGTTAAATATCCCAGCTGGTAGAGAAAATCAACAAAGACGGCCTTTTGGGCAATCGATGTCACAGACTTAGCCTTGGCTAGCATTTCGCGCAGCATCGCCATTTTTTCCTCGACGGGAAAGATATGCGGCCCAAGAACTTTAATTTCTTTCTCAGTGGCATCTGTTTTTGTGGCATTTTCGAAGATCTCCCGGACAAACTCGCTATTCTTGTAGAGGGCAGTGAAAGTCTCGAGAGGAAGCGCTGAAGACCAATAGACACCATTATATTGTCTGATGAGATGGTGGCGGAGGGAATACGGGTTGTACACCCACTCCGATGAGTTTTGACCCCGATAACCGTCGTAGTACTTGCGGATGTCTCTATCATGCAGCTCCGAATCTCGGATCAGATTATCCATCTGAAATAAAATCAACCAAAGTTGTATCACATCACGTTCTCCAAAAAAACAATCTTTTAATCTTTTATCTTTTAATAAATGCAATGGAGGTTGAATGACCCCAACAAGCATGTGTATGCGATACTAGAATGCTCATGAAGGGAGCGCATGACCATCTGTGTGGTTTTTTTTTTATATATCGTGCAAAATAGGCCTTCGAGGACCGTGCTAGTGGAAAGATGGGGTGTGCTCGTTAGTGCTCGGGCTATAAGAATGAATGGGAAATATAAAGCGCCAGTGACGTCAGCAGCAACGACGGGAGCGACGACCGGCAAGGCGGTTTTTAGCTTATGAGCCCTAGCCACAAGGCTCTTGTCACATGCCCACGGCTCACGAGTTAGCGCACAGTTCCTTTTTATTTAATTGAAAATTCCGCTTTTCCATTTTCTCAAAATGAACCGTATCCACTTTTACATTGTTTTTTATCCAGCTGACCACGATCACACCCTATCTTTCCACTTGCACATAGTTCCTTTTAGCATAAATACGTCCAAATAAGGTGGTGATATCTGCACGGTAGATGCGGAGAGAATCCATACAGCTGAAAAGACTGAAGTCAGTCGAGTCGAGCAGTCAACCAGAGGTAACCTACAAGGTTGATTAATAGGACTCAACATTTTTCGATAAAAAACGCTACAGAAATCAGTACTCTTCGCACCATATTACTCAGGCATGAAATTTGGGCAGCAGGATTTATTTTCAAGCGCTTCAAGCTTGATATTTAGACTCCTTTGCGCGTGGCATGAGGTCAAGTTGAAACAGAGATTGTGGTAGAAAATGATGGCATTCTTTAAACCCTCCTTGGAGGTGATTGTCGGGCATTACGCGGCAATGACCGGCATGGCGCGTGTTTGCTCGGGGCGGATTCACTGCTGCTTGCTTTTAATAAAACTACCCTTGGTTCAGAGATCTTCACAGCTCGGCACTTGCAAACAAAAACGCACAGCAAAGTACGTTACTTCAAAATATTTGAAACCTGCAGCGTGATTCCACTGACCAACTCAAAATTTTTTCCCAAGAATTGACAACCTCGCCTGGCAGTTATCCCGATTATACTCTGTTTTTATGAGGGGCTTGGAGAACAAGGCGCACAAGAGCAGTTTTTGAAAAACTGAGTTATTAATGCTTTGAAGTGAAATGAGTCTTAATGCATATTGTGTGAAAATTTCGCTCCCAAATTCTAATTTTTAAGCATCTTTGGAAAGAAAACACATTGGATCTAGAGTCTAGACTCTTGAAAACATTGACAAGAAAAAATAATCTTGATTCAATCAGATTTAAGCTTAAGTCAAAAGGAAATCCGCTCAAATTAAGAGGCTTGGTTCTTGATTTAAGCAAAAATCCGATTGAATCAAGAATATATTTTCTTGTCGATGTTTTTAAGAGTCCTGATTCTACACCCAATGTGTTTTTTTCTAGTGATCAAAAAGTCAGTTTGAACTTTCTCTCCGCCGCGCCTTGAGTATCCATGCAATTTCGGAACTTCGAACACGTGTTTCTTGCAATAGCAAAAAATCTGATTTTCCGTTTTGTCCTCCAAGCCCCTCATATTGCGTACCTCCCACTCAGAGAATCCGAAGAAAGGCGTAATTTCCTCGTCCTGAGTGAACCTCAAATGGACAGCGTTGGACGGCGCAACGATGGTTGAGAGTTCGGTGTTTCCCGTGAGGAAGGCGCGGTCGACGACAGCGGTATTATTGATAAAAAGCTCCGTTGAAAACTCCTTGAGGATAGCCAATATTTTCCGCATTTCCGCATCGGGAATCGAGTCGGTTAGGAGCCGAAGAATAGGAGCGTCCAGCTCGTCCAGAAGCACTAGGGAGGGGCGCCCGAAGTGGGCGGCTAGAAGGGCGCTCATGTCGCGCCCTGAGGCGCACAGCCCCTGTCGCGTCACTCCTGAGGCTGGTGCGTCGCAGTAAGAACGCAGCAACGTTATGTTCGCTGGACTTAACCTACAAAATAAAACAATGAGAAAGAACACGTTTTTGGTAATCGATTTCAACACTTATTGAAAACAGTCGAGATGTTCCATTTATTCATCTTTTAGTCTCAGAAATCCAAAGTACGCATTTGGGGGTTCAGCATTTAGGGCGCGGAAGTCCGCCGAACAAACCGGCGACCGAAGGTGCGGCATGACAATGGGGATGTTGCATGTGTGAGGAATTTGCGATTTGACTGTGTATTCTTATGTAAAAGTTCGTGAAAAACACGATAGTGCCACTGATTTTCTCTGAAATCAACTCCCAAGCTCAAGAAAAGCTCTCAAGTTGAGGTCAAAATGGAGGAGATATCCTACGCTACCCCGAGAGTCCACCTCTACATCAAGACAAACTCTGCATGCGAAGATTTCAGATGATTCAGAAGATTGCGATGTTTTCAGTTTTAGAGCCCCAAAATAAAGTGGCAGTCCTGTCAATGTATTTGCCCCCTATCTTTGCATGGAGAGTTTGTTTTGATGTAGAGGTGGACTCTCAGGATAGCGTGGGATATCCCCTCCATTTTGACCTCAACTTGGGAGCTTTTTGTGAGCTTGGGAGTTGATTTCAGAGAAAACCAGTGGCACCATCGTGTTTCTCGCGAACTTTTACATAAGAATCTATAGTCAAATCGCAAATCCCTCACACATGCAACATCTCCATTCGTCAAAGAATAACCGATCGAGTTTCCTCAACGGCTCGTTGCGCTATCTTCGGTCGCCGACTTGTGCGGTGGACTTGCGCACATTAAGTGCCGCACCTTAAACGGCCATCCAAAAATTACGCAAGGTCTCTAGGGGAAGGATCTGTAGAGCTGCCGCAAACGTCGTAACTTCGTAAAACTTTGTTACGAATATTTTTCACCAGAGGGGAGTAGGAATGACCCTTTGAGGGGGAGAGGGGGCTCATGAAATCTGAATAATGTCTTATTCGCGATGAACTAGTAGAGATCGTTCCAAACCTCCAGGTCATTCTCAACTTTCCAACTTAAAACCACCAAAAAAGGGTATCAAAATTGCGCTATAAACAAAACAATTTCTCAGAATTTACTTTTGTGACAAATAAAATGGATTTTCTGACCGCCGTTTCTTGATGAATTTGGATCTTTTTCCTGAAATTTGAGAGGTTGAGGGACACCGAAAAACTCCAGTGACGAACCTGTCGGATTTGAGGAGATAGGAATGTTCCTTGCAGACTCGCGCCGTGAGCTGTTGAAAGGACTTGAGGAAATCCATGACCCCAGAGATTGTAAGGTTCTCGAACGAGTAGTGCAGGACAGGATGTGTAGCCATCTGCTCGTCGCACCACTTCTCATCCCTGAAGATGGTTTTTTTGGAGGCGCGTTTTCTTTTAACGAGACCGGCGAATAAGGCGCGGTTCTCCGTATGGTTCTTGTCAACCTCGACGCCAGATTCGTCCACCAGGATCTCGTAGAAGTTTCGGAGCATGTACAGGTTCGTCGTCTTACCGAAGTACCGCGGCGCCGTCACCAGGATTGGTTTCGTCTGTTGGTGGAAAAATATTATCATCGGCGTCTTGTCCACGAAGTACTTCGACTCTACGGCTTGGATGAAAGGGTTCTTGTCCAGGGTTTTTGTGCTGTGCTGGCGGGTGAAAGAACATCATGAACACTAAAGCTGTACATATAATTTGTAATACATTTTAAATGGGACATCAGTCATTTTTACATAGCGTGGGTGTCACGCGGAGGTTAAAAAGGTATAACTAGTGTATTAAATTTTCTAGATAAAAATTTGAAAGTCAATTGTAGAGCGACAGTGGGTCCCTTTTGACCATCTCAAATGGTGTCAGAGGGCAGCACGCCTCGCCCCCACCCCCAACATAAATTAAGCAGAGCCACTACCCTTCGGGCACATTTAGGGGGGGGGGATTCCTATGCCTACCCAGAGTGGAGTGGAGTTTTTTCCGCAAATATCGAGCACATAGATTTTTTCCAAAGTTTCAATACACGAAAGGAGTCTATAAAAAGAAAGGCTAATAACCCTGTCTGCCTCCTGTTTTCAATGCAGCCTTAAGAGGTTTCTGCAAGTACTACTATTGTCTCTGCCTTGAGAAACTCCCTGTGTGAACTCATTTTATTCGGTATAAGATCATAGTTAACATTTTTCACCACCACCACCATCCTCGACCATTACATATGGTTTTTCTCCTTTCTTTTTTTCAAAACTCCTAATGTGCATAGCCATGTCTCTTTTTTAAATGTATTCAATTCCTTCCCCTCTTTATTCAAAATTGCATATTACCTCAGGGGATGCGGCGAAGAGTGGTCTGGGGGCGGACCCCGCAACCAAATTGGAAGAATCATTTTCCTCGGAGGATTCGAGGAGGTCCAGCCATCCTTCCGTTTCGCCTGCGACAAATATGCATATCATCACTTAAAAAAATACAAATGTAACATTTGGCATGCACTCAATTCTTAGGATAATTGGCTACAAAACCCAAACGCAAGTTTGCGACTGGATACTGAACACTGAAGTTTCAAACAGGTTGTGTATTGTTACATTTTATTTGTCTTCAGTCTTCTGAAATTGCTCTTTAATGTTTTTCAAGACATTCATTATAGCTACTGCGATCCATACTTTTCAATTACACGAATGAGTATAGAATGAAAAGGTTATCTAAGCACAATTTTCATAGCTTCATTAGCCTTTTGAATTTATGAATATCTTACATGTTTTTAAGACCGTTGTTATGAGTAATGATGTCATCAACTGAAATACCAACGACCAGCTCAACGGTCGACCGAAACTTTCGGAGTTTTTTGAGGATATCCCCATCTGAAAAATAAAGAAAATCAGGAGGTTAAAAATCTGCTATAAAATTATGCAATCTTCTCCTCTTTCAGAGTAACCTCTTTATTACATCTTAAACGTATGTATTTTAAAATGACTTTCTCCTTCGGTTTCGGAACTTTGCAAGATTCTAAACTGGAAATGAAGAGCATGCTGAAAAGCCTACAGTGCAACTTCTTCATCACAAGAAATTCAAAGTGAGATTCTGAGCAAAATTTACGACTGCTCTCAAAAAATACTCAGTTCTTCACGCGGATTTTAAGAGAGTTTATTACAACCGTGTTCGGTATTTTATTAAAAATTTAAAAATGATTTTTAAATGTCAAAGGCAATTAACGATCTTCGGCAATTTGCAAGCAGCCTGCGTGTCACCTCGTCAAAGCGCTGTAATTTGCAGTGACATAATGAAAGTTGTTTTGTTAGGGAAGCTCGGAGCTCAACTCGGAGCGCCTTCATTTCCCCGTCATACTCTTTGCCTCACCACGCAGTTAGTTTAGTTGCCTATCCGAACCAAACTCAACTAAGGTCATTGGTTGCACTACACGCTCGCACGCGTGAGTAGGTTAACTGCTGCTGAGCATTCATGAAGGAGATGAAACAACTTTATTATTCCACATGCTATAATTAGTGCTCGCTTCTAGTTTCATTAATCCTTCATGTTTTTTATGTTCATCATAAACATTTTTGCAAATTGCTTTCAGTCACTACTTGCTTGTGACGTAAGGATGAACCCATGATAAAATATAAATCACTGAATTTAAAAAAAAGGTTGTGAAGACCAAAGGATTTGGTTATTGACGTGAGCGATCTCTCGCCAGTCGGTCAGTAATTACAATGTCCCTTTCGGAATTTATAATTTCAAAAATTCTCACCTTTTCGTCGAATACACGCACGCCTTGTTTTCACGTTGTATGTAGCCGGCAGGGAGCCTCATGAAAGACTAAGCTGATCCATGAGGTTTCATACTGATCGTCTGATTATTAGGGGTCAATAATTTGCCTCCTGATAACATCCGAGTGTGTTTTGCACTTTTGCATGCAACGTCATCGTTTTGATCAGCACGATCAGTTTGTTTCACTTTTTTGCCATTCTACGCATCAACCATCTCCGGCTTCTCGCGATGAGGGGGAAAAATGTTTTTAAAAAATAATAAAGAAACAAATAAAAGTATCATGGCGTGAGGAGGATAAAAATTAGGATCCCCCTGGCCGCTACGCAGCCCAACTCCCGAGCCCGACGCGGTTCGGATCCTTTGCGCTCTCACATGGCCGCATTGGCCGCCCTGTGGCAAGAAAGCACGCCATGAAACAGTCAAGTTTTATCGGTACAAATGGAAAATAAAACACCGCGTACAAATGATACCACATACAAAAAGCCACTAAAGCAATATTTGTTCAGTTCATGCGTTTATCAGTCCTCATCAAATAGGAGCTAATTCTCTCGATGCCCCTAGTTTTGTCAAATCACGTAACACCACTGAGAATCCGGGCATTACTTAATAGCGACTATCGACTTTTCGACTGATATACATTTGGACGTATTTCTGTCAAACGGAACTAAGCGCCATCGGAGGAGGAAGGTAGAGGGGGGCTTGGATTGGCGGCGGAACTGGGCGTCGGGCGTCGGGCTCATACCGTCCTATACTCGCAATGCTTTTCCATGGCGCTTAGTTCCGTTTGACATAGGTACGCTCTGTCCGGCATTCTAAATTCCTCAAAAGGAACTCAAATTGGCGCTTAGTTCCGTTTGACAGAAATACGTCCATCTATTCTGATTGATGGCATTAAACGAGGTTATGCGGTATATTCGGATCCAGTTTGATAAAATTGCTAAAATCAGTCACGAATGTGTAGAATTGGATCCGAAAAAAATATACCCAATCTCTTCTAATGCTTTCGTGACAGTAATTTATACGAAATGACTGTTATAAATATCCAATACCAATAATGTAAGGTTAATATAGCGTCTATTTACTATACTCTATAATTTTATGCTTACATTGTGCATTCAAAGTAAATTCTGTTTGATTTTACTCATTAAAATCTTCTCAGTTGGCTGTAAATTTCGTGAGTTTTAGACCCACCCTTTCAACCATTGTCAATTTCCTTTCATAGTTAGGTAATAAGAAAATGGAGAAAAGGGAAGGCAAAAAGAAGGGGCCTGTCTGCCTGTCTGTGTGGCATGTTGAATAATATTCGAGTCGGTATGCATAAATGAGTGATTAAGGTTTATTTAAAATCCCATTAGAAATAACAATCACATAAAATACACTTTCAACGTAACTATTCAGGAAGCAAAACAGGACGGTTCAAAAAAGGATGTGAATCGTTTTGGCTTGATGAACTAGATATTTTAGTAAGTTTTTTTTGTCATGAGGTTCATAATGATATATAATATTATTTCGCTCATTATTGTCTTATGCATTCCAGGACAATAAGTAAAATTGTTCGATAATTTAAAAAAAATGGATTTTTCTCTTCACTGTTTCTTTCAATTTTTGAATACTTTGCAATACTCAATTCCTAAAAGGAAGTAAATAGCACCGACAACTGTAAACCGATACTTTTGACCCAAAACCTGTTTTATTTTGTTGTGGTACATAAGTTGACAATTTTTTCTCTAGGATTTTTTCTACGTCCAGAAAAATAGCCAGTCGAATTATTTAGACTGTCTAGATAGGGAGAGCATGGACAACTTTATAATCCCTAAAACCCATCGGGTTTTCAGCGCTGTCAGCGCCAATAAAGTATCGTTTGAATGCAAATTCATTTAATGTCTTATCAGTTCAGACTTGGGGGGTCTTCTTAGATCATATAGAAGATCAATTTTTGAAATAATGAAACACTTCTAACCACCAAAAGCCTAGCCAGCCTCGATTCCGCTGAGGTGACAGATGACGTGGCTCTAAAGTTCAAGCTCTATTTAGTGGTCCAATATCCATACATTTTCTTTCCGGACACTCAAGTATTCTGCCGTGCTAAAGAAGAACACCGTATGAACATTCGAGAGTTGCCAAAATTCCTTCGATAAAATGTTCGCTTTAGAGGTCAGTTATGAATATTTTTCCTTGAAATTTTCAGGAACTTTAGGTGAAATTGCGAGCAAAATTGTCTGAAAAATTTGAAAAAAAATATTTATAAGTGCAACAGAAAATCCATGTTTTATCAAAGGAAATTTGTCAACGCCTGGAGGTCCGTGCGACATTTTTCCTTAGCACGGCAGTATCATTCACGTGGACGTATTTATGTTAAATGGAACTATGTGCAAGTGGAAAGATGGAGTGTGCTCGTGCAAGTTGCAAAAGTAACAATGTAAAAGTGAATATAGTTCCTTTTGAGGAAATGGAAAAGCGGGATTTTTAGTTAAATCAGAGGGAACTGAGCGCCAACTCGTAAGCCGCGGGCACGTGACAGGAGCGTTGTGAACAAGGCTCATAAGTTAAAGACCGCCTTCCCGATCGTCGTTACCGCTGACGTCACTGACGCTTTATAATTCCTATTCGTTCTTATGGCCCGAGCACTATCGAGCACACCCAATCTTTCCACTTGCACATGGTTCACTGGGAAAAAAACACATTGGATCTAGAATCCAGACTCTTAAAAACATCGACAAGAAAAAGTACTCTTGATTCAATCAGAATCTAGCTTAAATCAAGAATCAAGCCTTTTAATTTAAGCGGATTTCGTTTTGATTCAAGCAAAAATCCGATTGAATCAAGAGTATTTTTTCTTGTCAATGTTTTCAAGAGTCTGGACTCTAGCTCCAATGTGTTTTTTTTTTCCTGTGTTCCATTCAGCATTAATACGTCCACGTATAGTTTGTATTTGACTTTTACTGGAAGCCCCATTGCCCCTGAGTTTCTGCTGCGTCAGGCTTGAGACCTTCCCAGTCGATTCCCTTGGAGCAGTACTTGAGCGAGACGATTTTCATCTTATCGGTGGTGTTGCTGTATCGGATGCGAACGGTGCAGCGGGTCTTCCCGTCCAGGGGTCGGCAGCCGGGATCCTGGGCTTTCGGGCAGCGCTCCATGAGCTCCCGCTCCTTCAGAGCTTCCCAGCCCTTGAAGGCGTTCTTGCAGAACTGTTCCAGAGCATCGTGCCCCCGGACCGCCCACTTGGACTTCTTGCTCTGACGTGGCATCAGTTCCGTGTCGCAGATGTCCCGCCAGTTGTACAGGTTGTAAAGCTCGCGTGTCTCCATGTCCATGAAAAACGACTGCCAACAATGAACAAACAATCAAAGGTTTGTGGAAATTGATCACTATGAAAGGTGCAAATGGGTCAGTTGCGCTGGTCACAGAATCGCGTTTGATACTTGATACTTGTAGATCAGCTAAAAATAATAAACTCCGTACGTTCTATATTAATCAAGATACTGCGTTTTGAAAAAGTCCTTTTATGACGTCATCCACCCTGGTAGTGACAACCTTGGTTTCTTTCATCTTGGTTTTATCAGTCAGGGAGACATACACTACCATTGGCTACTCAAAGAGAAACTCGGATGAAAGGAAGGTGGAAAAAACCGAGGGCGTCACTACTGCGGTGGATGACGTCAAAACCCCGACTTTTCAAAGGCCAATATTCCGTTAATATTGAAGGAAAAAAGTTGCTCTTTGGACGGATCTTATTATTTTTAGCTGGTGTACAAGAATCAAGCATCAAAACACGATTCTGTGACCAGCGCAACAAACGCATTTAGCGTTGTGATATCTATATCGTCACCTTCCTGCCAAAGTATCACAAAGCGCCATGCGACGTTTTAAAATTTTCGCAGCCATTTTATTTTTTTACAGAGAAATATTGTTAGTCGCATCTATTTGAAAATTTTACTGAATTTTCTTTGTGCTACACGGAGCAAAATCTATGGCTATATAAACCAATTAGTGATTCATATGGAACACCACTAATAATTGTAAATGAATTAATGATTCTCGGACCATACCAGGGTATCTCGTACAATACTAAGCACTAAGGTATGTGTGCTGTTATATGTTGCCTTAACTACTATTAGTGATATTCTATATAAACCACTACTTGGTTTATGAGCCATAGCTTTTTCTCAGTGTGCCGATAAAATTCAGCGAAATTTTCAAACAGATTCAACCAAAAATTTCTTTGTGAAAAAATAATATGGCGGCGGAAATTTTGAAACGCCGCATGGCGCTTGAGATACTTTGGCTGGAAGGTGACGATATATGGGGCATGGGGCGGTTATAATTTTCGCTTACCTTTCCCGATTATCATTTCCGTAATTTGAGGAATTACCCCGTATACGTTGAGATGGCTGTTAAAATTCAAAATAGAGTTCCCCGTCGAAATTTTCCGCAGCATTTGTAGTTGTAATAGTGTTACGGGTGAAAACGGAAGCCCTGAAGGAGGGGGAACGTATTACAGTAAATGAAATTTTTGAAAACGTATGAAACGAAATCACGGCAATCGGGATAGCTATTAATTCGTGATTATAATTAGCTAATCACTGCTCGATATGCTCCACGCTATTGCCAAATTATATTGGGTGGAAATGATAGAGGACAGAAATGATAATCGGGAAAACTAGGCAGAAATGGACTACAGCCTTTGTATATTTCTTTATCATTAATTCTCGTAGTGCACTATTTGTACCACGCAAATTACTGAGAGAAACTACTCGTGTAGGCGTTAAGAGCCTAGGTAGAAAAATCAACGTAACGCTTGCGTCTGCAAAACGCCAACTCCGCGTTCGTATTTTTCAGTCACTTGAATTTCAAGTTAACTTTATTTTTCCAGCACACCTCGTTGGAGAATCCTGGAGACTTAAACGCCCGAGTAGGAAAACGAGAACGACGCAACACCTGCGTCTGCTCTAGTACAAGAGCGTCAACTGTACTTTAACCTACTAATCGATATTTTCAATCGTTAGAATTTAAAGTTAATTGTATCTTCCCATCCTAATAATTAACATTTAATGGTAACAATTCGCACAATGTACTTCGCCATAACTCATAGTCAGTATACATTTTAAGGCTCTGAGTCAATAAAAGACACGAAGCTTACAAGAGAAGCGTGAAATTTGGCAGGAATATGCATAAATATGTTGAGAACAAAAATCTATCGAGACCCAAGTTCAGTCGGCCATTTTTACCCCGCCTAAAGGCCACCACCTTGGAAATTAATGGCACAGTCCTGCTTCTTCACGGTTTCTCAGATTTGCGCGGCTGTTTTGCAGCTAGACGCGTGAATTTTGGCAGGAATATCCATAGGTGTGTTGAAAATAGAAATTCATCGAGACCCAAGTTTGGTCAGCCATTTTCCCGATGAACTTGGGCGCCATCTTCGAAAAAAGCGATCTTCCTTGTTCCTCCGAGGTTTGTCGGATTTTTGTGGCTGAGTTGAAGCTACGCGTAGATGCATGACAATTGGAATAAGTATACGTGTAAATATGTGAGGAACCCAAAAATCCGGAGATTGAAATGTAGTCAGCTTTACCCCGATTAATGGCCGCCATCTTGAGAATGAGCAATCAACCTCTGTTTCTCCAAGGTATCTCGGATTTGTGTTGCCCTGTAGCAGCGAGATGTATGAAATTTGGCACCCTGGTAAAAATGGCAAGTGTTAGGTTAGTGAATTTTCCACTGAGGTCAGTGCAATTTGCTCTGAGGTCAGTTCAGTTTTCTCTGACGTAAGTGTTAAAGCACTGACCCAAGAGGTAAGTACTGAGGTAAGAGGCACTGACGTCGGGAGGAAGACTTACCTAAGTGCAGAGATATCTTTGAGGTAAGCGGGACTGAGGTCAGGACTTGGTTCAGAGGGTAAGTCTCTGATATCGGTCTTAATCGAACCGCACTCACTCCCAAAAAGTAGAGATGGCTCCCTCTTCCCCCACCCTATTTTATTTTCGTGGGGGAATATTCCTTGGGATACGGGGACCACAAACTTTATCTTACGGAGAGGCATATTTTTTATGAGGGGGATTTTCTAAGAGGGAAGGAAAACTTGTTTAGGTAGCCACACTCTTGAAAAATTTGTTTAACCTTCTTCGTTTATGATGGCACTTAAATAATTAAAACACAAAAAAATGAGATCGGTAAAAATATTATCACCGCTATAATATGTATTTAGATGTAGTTATTTAAGCATTATTATTTTTTTAACTTAAGAGTAAAAAAAAAAAATTAAATTTGGTTTAAATTTTTTTCAGTTTTAACTCTTTTTAAAATTTTCCAGTCTTAATTTTTTTGAAATTTTCCCAATTTATTTTTAATTATTTTCCAACTTTTTTACTCCGTTAAGTACTTTCAATTTTTGTATCTGCTAATTTATATTTTTTGTATCATTTCAACTTTGATTATTTTTTTTACATCCTCAGCTATAATTTTGAATTTTAATGCATTCCATTTTTTTTTTTTTTTCAAAAAAAAACATAATATATAAAACTTCATTTTCATGTTGATTGATTGAAAAAGAATAATAAAAAAATTAAGTATCGGATTCAAATTCAAAGACAAAATCATCATTTGCTGTCAAAATTACTCTAATGGGGGCCCTGAAATGACATAATTACGCCCCTAACACTTACACGTGCAGGTAGTGTAGTGGTTCAGTCGCTAGATCGATCACCGAAGATAAGCTACGTCGGGCGTAGTTAGTACTTAGATTGGAGACCGCATGGGAACGAGCGTTGTCCACTGAAGATTGTGATGATTACTTGTGATGGAAAACTCACAGTAGCCCTCCCTGGTCGTCAAATAGTGAATTAACGTACCTGGCGGATCGGTAATTAACTAAATTTTTGCCTCTACAGTATTTCTGGGAGTTTCCACACCGCTTACGTCGGAGACACTTAGGTCAGTGCCACTTACATCAGAGGCACTTGCCTTTGGAACAGACCTAACACTGACGTAGCAGATCAGCGCCCGGCAGCACTTACATCAGTGTTTAGGTCTGTTCCAAAGGCAAGTGCTACTGATCTGAGCACTTGCCATTTTTACCAGGGCAGGAATGCACATGAATATAATTGGAAGTAAGGAACCTCGAGACATGCGACTAGGGGATTAACACGTGAAATTTTATTTCAGAGAAAAATAGAAAAACAAGAAAATTTAATCAATTTACTGTACCAAATTCTTTTTTAAGTTTAAGTTAAAACGCAGAAAAAGAGGTTTGAAGTTTTATTCCTGCATAAGGCTCGATATAGAAAATAAACTTTAGCCCCTCGTTCCACAATCTAATTTCTGTTTTTCGACTTTTAGTTTTTGACAGGAGAAAATACGCGGCCAGTCGAACTCAAAAACATTCTGTACTCCATTTTTTCGAAAATATGGGTTGGTTCCTCTCCGATAAAGTGGGTCCAGTCTCGTTACTTTTCGACAATTTTGAAATATCCTTCACGCACTTTGATCATCGAAATAGGACCCTTACCTTGGTTGCGAGGACGAATCCCAAGATGAAGAAAGCTATGCATGTGGCGTACATTTCGCGTTTGAGTTTTTCACGTGAGTTGTCGTTGGCGAGTTGAGGACACAGACTGCAGACTCGGAGCCGGAGCACACGAACGTCAAGAAATGACTCAGCCGTCTGTGCGAGCACTCACCCCTTTCCCTTCAATCCCCTTTCCCACCAAAGCTCTATCTTCCACCGCACGGTGGGTGGGTCCGCCAAAGGCAGAGGAACGCGTAGGAATGCAGATTTGTGTGTATTTTATTGAACCTACATAGGAATAGTTGCAAGGTGGATAAAGAATGGTGGTCGCATTTCGTACCCTCTTGACGTCACACCACACAATGCGGCCTCCTTATGGACGATGCGGACAAAAATAGTTACACCGATGAAAAAAAAAGTTTTGGCCCATCGACATATCGATTCTGCAGCAATTTTTACCGTAGAATCCGATTCTGAAGCGCAACATTCTCTAGGACTAGAATTTGGGCTTCAGAAACAAGATGGCTGTCCAAAAACCCTCTAAATGATCGTCTCAAGAATGAAAAATTTGAATTTTACGGATATAGGACTGTGAGGTATCAATTCTTAAGTAATTTTCCCCCTATTCAGAATCCAGTTAAACTTGCCCCTTGATTGTTGTTCGTTGAACAAAATTCCAACCGAATGTCAAAGCCCCTTTAGCTGCTTGAACGTTCTAACAATGATTCTAAATTTTTAAATAGGATAATTTTCGGTGACAAAACTTGAGTGTACGGCTACGATATGGCGACGAAACTCCAATCACCCTTGTGGGTTGAGAAAGGTACTGCAAAGACCGAAAAAAGAGAGACAAGTTCGGTCAAACATAAAAATCGCAGAACACCCATGAGGTTGCCTTACTTCAAGCCACATACCAACGAAGCTAACTAGGATTTTTCAAATTTGTGAATGTAGCGTTCTTTAGTACATTTTCAGCTATCAGGAAAGTTCAGGAAAACCTAATTCGGACACATTGTGGGCTAGTTATCACCAAAATCCGGTTTCTAATCTAACAGACCTCGTAATTATCACCGACTTGAATGAGGAACGCACTGCGAACCAACTGACGAGCACAATACAGTCTCTTGAAACAGTTTTTTTTGGCCGAATAAATGCAGCCCATAATAAGTGTCTGAAATATATATATGCTATTCAATTTGACGCCTACGTATAGTCAGTGGCAGTAGTAGTTATCCATTAATTAGTATGGTTGCATAGGCACTTTCTTAACCACCGCGCTTAAGCATACTCTACGTTTTTGACAATGATGATTGTACTTGAGAAATTATGTCGTAGTAGAATATTTTACTACAACACAAATGCATTTTAACATGATAGGTACACTGGTACAGGTCAAAACTCGACCAAACATATTGTAAGAGCCTCGCTCCTGCTAAAAATTTTCCATGGAATTCCATCGTGTTCACCACGGAAAATTTCTCCACGTAAAATTGGTCACGGAAAATTTCTCCACGTAAAATTGGTCACGGAAAATTTCTCCACGTAAAATTGGTCACGGAAAATTTCTCCATGAAAAATTTCCCCACGAAAAGCACCACGGAGAGCACCACGGAGAGCACCACGGAAAATGTTATCACGGAAAATTTCCACTGTGGAGAGTAGTGTGGATATGAGGGTACGGGGCCAGCTATTGACCAAATTGTGTAGAAAAATCGGGATTAATTTGCGGTGATGGATGGGTGGTGTATGTTTTAGTGGATGATATTGCAACAATGTTTTCATGTTGTGACGTCACTAATGTTGTAAAATTGTACAGAAAATCGGAATTATTTCAGGATGTTGGGTGTAATTTAGTGATATGGCAACTATGTTTTCAGTCGTGACGTCAGTAGCGTTGAAAAATAGCGAGAAAATCTGAATTAATGATGGGCGATGCCGTGGTTATAGTGTATGATCTGGCAACTATGTTGGAACGTCACCAGCTGTGTAAAATTGTGCAGAAAAATCTAATTTAGCTGGAGTTGGGTGTGGTTTTGTTCACGGGGTATGACAACCGTGTATATTGTTGGTTAACCGTTGCGGATTACCTAACCGTTAGGGGGGGCTATTAATACGTGACTTCATCAGCAATGTTGTTAAATTTTCAAAATTCGTCAGCAATTTTGTCCATTCCATACCCTCACACAAGGCGTCACTGGTGAGGTGAGGTCCGATAATTGACTGTAAAATCCTAAGATAGGTGTCTGTCACGAACCGTTGGAAAATAACATATTTTGCTTGAATGTACGTTGATTATTCAGAATGATAAGTACCTGGTGTACTGGGCTGATGAGCGGGTTCGGTGCGGGCTCAAGATTATCCTTTGCCTCCTCGGAGTCATGTAGGTCCAGCCATCCCTGAATTTCACCTGCAACAAACATATATTATTTTATAGGGGCTAATGTACAATTTGTATAGTAGATTCGCTCAGAGACCAGTACCGGCTTAATTTCAACGTCATTTGACAATTAGGAACTACAAATTCTAACTCACTTGTGAAAGTACTTATCTACATACTTATGGAAACTACTGGTAAATTAAAATTAGTTTCTAAAGTGAGCTGGAAATCGTAGTTCTTAATTCCAAAATGTAGTGCAGCTATTCTTCACATCATTCAGAGAAATACACATCGATCAAATCGACGGTGAAAGTCGGCAATCACATAACTCGGTTTGCGACGTCGCAGACTTCCTGTCATACTTTATTTTTAAAATGGAAAACTACTCAACGGCAATTCTTTAAAACTGTCATGATTTTTCTTCTCAATGCGAAGTAAATTCTGCAAAAACTTCAAGAAATAATATCAATTTGTTCTCCTTTAAAAAAATGACGTAGAGGCGGAGATTTTCAGACACCGCAAACGAGTTATGTGATTGCCGACTTTCACCGTCGAAATGCAATTTTTATTTAACATCTGAGAAAATCAAAGCTGCAAAAATAAAATTAAATATATTTTGAAAATCAAGGCGGTCAAGGTGTCATACCACAATTCTATAGATTGGGTAGGACATCGAGATTTCACTTCGCATAGAGTAGATTTCACTCCACATGGAGTAGATTTCACTCCGCATTTCTCGAGTTGTTTGTCAGCTGCATTATGCAGCCGAGAATATGCAGCCTGCATATTTCCCAGATTGAAACGAACTCCATGTTTTTCTCCAAGATTTTTCATAGTCTACCACATTAAACTTCCTCCACTCAGGTCCGGATTAAGGGGGTGGCCACATGGGCCGCAGCCCATGGCGGCAAATCTATAGGGGGAGGCAAATTTTGCAATTTTTTTAAATATAGGTATAAAAAAAAAAATTGGGACTTAGAGAAAAAAATTACAAATGAGAAAAGGCAACAAAATCTCTAATTTTATGAAAGTATAGTAATCTCTACTTTTGTCGTCTTTCAGTGATACAAGAGACAGCACCTTTAATTAGTCGAGTTATAAGAGAGAAACCAAACACGCAATTTGGCCCGGAACTAACTAGACTTAACTAGACTAGGTTTGGACTTAACTAGAGAGAAATGCTGACGAGGACTTGATGAAAAGGAGAAGCCCTCGGCGCGGCGATCGGCATGTAACACATATTAGCGCCTACAAGACTGCTCGAATACCTCACGCATTACATCTAACACAGTGCGGTCATTGCGGACAGCGTGAGACGCATAGCGCCTACAAGACTGCGTGAATACTTCACGCATTACGTCAAACACAGTGCGGTTTGCGAGGCGCGGCGGCGGAAGTGAAAATCATTAATCAACATTCATGTTTGTTTTTTCATAATTTTTACGTTCATTTCTTATGAATGGAAGGCCTTGTCCACACAGAGATAGGTTTACGAAACTTAACTTTCGCGCAAAGTTTCGTGAACTTTTGCCAGTAGTGTTGACAGGGCTTTCCCAAAAAATGTGTTCAACACCAGTAAACGTATCTTATGCACCCCTCCCTCACTGGCACATTCATTTGATAGTTTTCATTGATGTTTCAAAACGAATGAGAAGGGGGCGGCAAAATACTAGCGGCCCATGGGCGGCAAGTAGGTAAATCCGGCCCTGCCTCCACTAAATACTAAAAAATAACCCTCCACTATTAGTAGTGCGTGTTATTCATACTTTTTTTCCTGTCTTGAGTGTCAAACTTTAGATCCTCGTAGATTATTACGAGGACGATTTTTAGTGTCATTTCCAAAATCAGTCGTATTTTACAATTCTTTGCATTTATAAAATTTTTACCTGATTCCAAAACTGTTGCAATAAGTAAAGATGTCATCAACTGGAATAGAAACCGGTTAAGCGAGCGATAGAACCATGCGGTATTACTTGAAGGTGTCGCCATCTGAGGAGTAAAAATTTAAAAATCTGAATTCAAAAAAATTTCGGACCTATAAAAGCCTCGAACTTCTTTTCCTCATAAACCATGCTTCATCTTAGAGGCACAAACTTTTAAAAATGTCCTTCGGAATTACGACATTTTTGCAATTTCTGATATGAAAAGGAATAGAGGTACTCTCGCAAATAGGCGGCGACCTTTGAATTTTTCCTTCTCTTCGAGTGAATCCTCGTGGGACTCTCTTTGATTTTGAGACTTTCATTGGCAATTCAGAAAGACATCGATCGTGAGAATTATTTATTCCACATAACGAATTATATGAAGTTCTGAGGACGATATTTGCTTTTTTAAATGGTTCAGCAAACTTACGTAATCGTGGTCGTTCCTGAGACGTGTTGGTATCCTTAATCATTGTAATCCTTAAGATTTGAGAGGGTTTTAACGTTTAAGCCGCGACTATGAGGACAACTTATGCTTGTTATAGCTTAACAGCCTCCGCTGACTCGTCTTTCATAAATACCATGGGCCGACAGTAATAAGCCACTCCAGTGGTGATTCTTGAGCGTTGGCAGCACTGTTTTTCTCCAATTAAATGAATGTAAAATAATGGATTAATCAATATTTTTAATTGATTTAAATGGAGGAAAAACAGTGTTGCCAACCAGCAAAATCGCCACCAAGACTCGGTGCCTATGTTAAGCTTTTCATGTTGTTGATCATTTAGCGAGAAATTCAATACCTTGCAGACACTATATATTTAGTTTTAATTTATTCTTCATCGTGGTGAAAAGAATAAACTAAACTCTGGACCTAATTGTCTAAATAAACCCAACCCGACCTAACCTAACGTAAACCGATTTACCCAACATGAGATGGCATTCATTTCCTCAATCTGACCTAGCCTAACTAAACATGCACTGCTATGGAGACACAGCAGCGTTTTCACGTCTTTCCGAGCGAGATGTCTTGGTAAATATTTGAATTTGTCGATAGTATAGTTTGCAAGCATACCTAAAATCATATTTCTTTGATTCGGCAACTACTCAAATAATTATTTTGAAGCGCATGTAAAGAAGTAATTTGGCAAAAAATATGTTCATAGCTAGGTGAATGTCGTATGACATCCATTATCTTTCACATGATGCAATATTACCTAAGAGTTATTCACTCAACTTCAGAATTGTCACAAGTATTAGTCTTGCTAGAATATAATCTGTTGGCTTCGAAGCAATTCATTGTCCTTTAAGGACCCTTGCATTTTTGTAATTACAGAATATTTGCTTTTTAACCATTCTTACCTTTTCTTTATGGTCGTGGTCCTTGCTTTCACTTCGTGTGTTGCACCGATAACACGATAACAGCAGCAATGTAAGAGACACTCTATGACTGACTTGTCTGATCAAGAGGTTTCATAATGTTAGCCTGATCTGCGAGGTCAATATTTCGCTCCATGATTAAACTCTCATAATTTGATAAGGATATCATATCTGACTATTTTTTTCTGTGTCTACATTGTTTGCTCTTGAAGAAAAAGAAGAAAGTGAATCGTAGAGGAGGCAGTTCGTGATATGAGCTCTTTAACCTTGACACTGAATGTAAGTGAATCTTAAGAAAGATAATTTAAGTAAAGTTAGGTAAAAATAACTATCCCTTACGGAAGAACTAGCAAGTAATTTCAAAGTTGTCGCCCGTAGTCTACTGTGTGACGATAATTGGTTCAATGCAACGCCCAATACATGCTATTTTCTGACTACTTTTGCCAATCTTCCCCACATTAATACATAGGGTGTCCCAAAAGTACTGCCCCTTTTTACGCAGAGGGCGAAAGAATGCAGATATCAAAATGCGGTTTGTGTGAGGTTATAGTCCTAGTAATTACCTATAAAACAAGACCAAGTTGAGCTCTGTAGCTTAAAATTTGACTGAGATACAGCATTTTGAAAATGACGTGTCAAGGTGGCGCCTACAGGATTTTCAACATTTTTTACGAAAGAAAAAACCAAGTTTAAGAATGAAACGGTTTTAAAAAGAAAAAGAAGCAGCCAGAAACATATGGCAACACTGTGTTTTAGGCGGCATTTGGCAACGTGTAAGCACCCCTATGCAGACCAACGACAGGATTAATAAACGTGTCCGCTAGTGCCATCCAAGTTGGTCAAGCTTTCCCGTCACGTCAGTCAGAGTTCATCCCTTTGTCGTTTTGGAAGTTTCTTTCGCGATGAGTACCGAATTAAGAAAAGAACAACACCACGTTATTCGTTATTGTTTTCGTCGAGGAATGTCAGTAAAAGATACTTCTAATGAAATGAAAGGCGTGTATAAAGACGACTGTTTGGACAGAAGTAGCATTGGTCGTTGGTTTAAATCTTTTTCTGGCGGCCGCGAATCGGCGGAAAATCTCGCGAAACCGGGCCGACCGTCTACCTCCACCACAGACGAATTAATCGGCACCGTTGCTGCTGTTGTTCGAGGAGACCGTCATTTATCCTTGCATAAGTTTCAGGTGTTGCTTGACATCTCAAAAAGTTCATTGCACCGGATCTTAAAGGACCACCTGCAGATGCGTCGTGTCTGTTCGTCCTGGGGTTCGTCCGTAAAAAATGTTGAAAATCCTGTAGGCGCCACCTTGACACGTCATTTTCAAAATGCTGTATCTCGGTCAAATTTTAAGCTACAGAGCTCAACTTGGTCTTGTTTTATAGGTAATTACTAGGACTATAACCTCACACAAACCGCATTTTGATATCTGCTTTCTTTCGCCCTCTGGGAAAAAAGGGGCAGTACTTTTGGGACACCCTATGTATCTTGTCTATATCCGATAGTCTGATGGATTTCGCCAAAGTTTAATGCTGAAACTAGTCTCGGGTAGGAATTACCCGAATTTTTCAAACCTAAAAAAGCAAACTTACTCCTTCTAAATTGGTTGTTCCCGCAATTTGCGCTCCTGCCTTTAGAAACCTTACATTTCATGAACTAAATACCAAAAAAATTCGTCCTAGAGCCGCAAACGTGTTCCAGTTAGGTAAGAGCCATCGAGATGAGGAAAGAATCATTTGAGACGACTTACTTATTATTGACACTACGTTCAGTTGTAAAAAAGAGAATTTAGGTTCGGGTGGATACCGAAGGCATTCTCTATGATTTTCACCCTTTTCTTTAGAGTGAAGAGGGAGGCGGCGTTACTGGTATGTGAATTCTTTCAATTTGAACCAAAATATAAACTGTTTGCAGGTTTTTAGGGTGGAAAAAAGTAAAGGCGGTACTTCCATTTTTTTTATTCATTTTATTTTTTTTCAGCAACAATTGTGATTTTCTCTGTCTTTTATGACTATTCGGAAAAGAGGGCTACATTTTTTTAAGGAAAATACAACATTTTCAGTACAAATAATATGAAAAAGAGTAAGAGGAAGAAGCTAAGTCAATAAGGACAGTTCAATTTATTGTCCGGAGATTTGACTACAGGTAACGACTCGTATCTAGTTGATCGATTTTTCTATTTTTTACTTATTTCCACAATTAATAAGAATTTTACTCACATAAAACGCAGTAAATAACTCAAAATTCTTGTGACTTATAACTACGCAGCCCTCCTTCCTCAACAGAATAAAGAAAAAAGCTCCCCTGAGGGGTACCGACTAGAAATAATGATCAATATAACGGTTATAATCTAAATTTTATTATACCTAATCATTCTGTACATGTGAAACCTGAATCTGCCACAAATTTCAGTTCATGGCAATTATTTTTTACAAAAATGTTCCAGGAACCTCCGATAGGGCACCTAAATCGGGAGAATACGAGAGCAATAAAAGGGCAGCCAATCTGTCAAATTAAACTAGCCGGAATTATTTTTTATTGCTATTGTTACGACCCGTCTCATCATTCGTAAAGATTCGTCATTCTCAATATCCGACTTAGTTTTTATCCAAATTAACTTATTTTTTCAGGAGGATGCTCATGTATGTACAATCTTGGCCATGTTGGTTTGATATTGGAATCTGAAGATTGACTCGCATTACTCTAGTGTTTCTCATGTTAGAAGGTTGGCTGGCCTCTTGGATTTTAAGAGCTCCACTTTTCGACATGTCTCTACTCTGCCGTGCTAAGGAAGAACGCCGTATGAACATTCGAGAGTTGCCAAATTTCCTTCCATAAAATGTTAATTTTTGAGGAAAGATATGAATATTTTTCTTTGAAACTTTCAGGAACTCAAGGTGAAATTACGAACAAAATTATCTGAAACATTGGAAGGATAGTATTCATAAGTTTACCAGGAAATTCGTGTTTGATCAAAGGAAATTTGGCAACGCCTGAAGGTTCATACGGCGTTCTTCCTTAGCACGGCAGTACTGCCCCTATATGGATACTCTAGCCTCCGAGACCTTCCTTCGAAATTTGATCCCTCCAGACCCCTACCCCCTTTCAATACCCCAGCTTCGGACCCTCACAAAACCGATAGAAAATTTCGCTGACCTCCTTATTCGGCGTTTTGACGGAGAAGTATTTATCAGTTTTAGAGCGAGGCACCGTTTTGTTGGTGAAATAGCCGAGCTCGTAGAGGAATTCGACCAAGACGACCATCTGGGACGTTGTGGTCACCGGCTTGTTCTTATGGATCATCTCGCGCAGCAAGCCGATCTGCTCTTCGGCGGTGAAGCTGCGGGGCTCGTGGACTTTGACCTCTTTGACGGCAGCCCCGCAGCTGAAAACTCCCCGCACGAAGTTGTCCGTCTTGAAGAGGGGAGCGAAATCCGTCAGAGGCATCGCCGGAGACCAGTAGACGCCGGTCCACTCTTTGCGGAGGTAGTTCCGGATGGAATAGGGGTTGTACAACCACGTGGAGGAGTCTTGGCCGTGGTAGCCCTTGTAGTACTCCCGGACGTCTTTTATATCCAAGTGTGCTTTCTTGACGAGGAATTCCACCTGAAATGAAGAGGATCGAAATTGAAACGAACAATTGGACGTATTTCTACCAAACAGACCCATGCGGAGGTGAGAAATATGGGGTCTGCTCGTTAGTTCTCTGGCCGTAAGAGTGAATGAGAATAATAAAGCGCCAGTGACGTCAGCGGCAACGAACGAGGGTGGGCGAGGGGGCACGGCTCGGCGGGGAATCGTCGTCGGGGCACTTTAACTCATGAGCCCTGTTCACAACGCTCTCTTGCCATGCCCGCGGCTCATGAGTTCCGCATTCAGTTGGCACATAGGTCTCTTTGATAGAATGTAAAATCCCGCTTTTCCAATTCTTCAAAAGGAATCACGCCCACTTTTACATTGCTTCTTATGCAGCTTCGACGAGCACACCCCATATTTCTCACCTCCACATAGGTCTGTTTGGTAGAAACACGTCCAATTTTACCAATGGCATTTCCAAAATGGGGTTTTCGTAGAACTCCATATGATATGGATGGATATGGAATGATATACGGAAATTGAACTGGGATAAAACAGAACCCCTTGAAAATTATGAAGGAAACCCCAACTTTAAAAGTCACAACTCCCCTTCCACTCCATCAGGGGGACTGAGGGGCTTCGGGGCTTCGGGGCTATGAATTTTGGATTCCTTGGGGTCGATTCCCTACTCGGCTATGCAGTCTCCGATTTCATCCGGACTATAATAACCGCGCGAGAAAAAAGCCCGCGGGCTGATTATTGGAATTGATAGACAAAGCTATAGACGAAGAAAACATCGGGAGTATGGAGCGATCCTATTGGTTGAAGTGAGTGGTTCTATAGACTAATGGAGAAATGATGGACTAACTGTAGGGTCTCTCGTGGGTTGCCGTTAGTTAATCTATTACCCAACTGCCCCAACTTGAGTTGAGACACTACCATAATTAATTGGAAACATCAATCATCCAACAAATTGAGTGCTACTACAATTTTAGGGGACAACTCCTCGCACTTTTTCCCGTAAATATATTGTAATTGTATTGCAACAAATCGCAATTTTATTTTAATACTTTCAATGCAGTATGCTACATGGGTAGGCAAAATGATAGTTGATTCAATTCCAGGTCCCTGACTGGTTATGAAACCGACCTCCTTTCGTGGTTGAACGCTCGTCAAAATTGGAATTGGCAGAAATGGGATTACTCCTAGATAAGTTGCAGAATCAGACTGTAGCATAGATACAAAAAAAGGAGGTGTTTGCATCTCGGATTTTTTGGATAACGTAGGTCGGACGAGTTTCATCATCGATTTTCTTGGAAATGGTGTAGTTTATGTAAAAAAGTCATTCTATAAAAAGTGTTTGAAATTACATAATGAGTTGATTTAAGCAAAAAAAATCGGACGCTACGGTTCGTTTTTCGTATTTCGAATTCCGGATTTTGCTGGCCAGGTTGCACCGACCTACGTAGTAGAATCAGTCATTTTGTCAGATGTCTAGGCAAATAGTCAAATATTCTAGGTAAGATTGGAATTCTGATTATTTTCCTAATGTTTGACAAAATAATTGACCCCGTAAGAAAAAATTCTCGGTAAAAATTTGCATCACAAAATAGTATTTTAAACGATTTTTAGCTCCTGAAGAGGCATCTTGAAATGTTTAGCACGTCAGAGAATACAGCATTTTTAGAATTCCAACATTTAGAAATATGAGAAGCAATTTAAGAGGTAGAGACAAAAAGAGTCTGTAGGTTTGATGAGATATTTTCCCACAAATATTGAAAACTCGTGAGCTCTCCGCCATGAATTCACATAAATTTGTAGACAATCAAAATTTAGCTATCCGCCTAGGCATTTGAAAAAATGCCTGATTTCACTATTTGCTTGCGACAAACTCACGTCCTTTCTTTCTCTATGAGACTGCAGGGTTCCTACCTCTTGGTCCGAAAATCCAAAGAAAGGTGCGATCTCCTCATCCTCGGTGAACTGCCAATGGACAGCGTTGGGTGGCGCCACGGTGGTTGCGAGTTTGGTGTTGCCGGTGAGGAAGGCGCGGCCGACGGCAGGATTGTCGACGAAAAGCTCCCTGGAAAACTCCTTCAAAATGGCCAGGATCTCTTCTACGTCCTTGTCAGGCGCGGAGCTGGTTAAGAGCCGGAGGACGGGGGCGTCCAGCTCGTCGAGAAGGACGAGGGAGGGGCGCCCGAAGTGGACGGCTAAGATGGCGCTCATATCGCGCCCTGAGGCGCACAGCCCCTGGCGCGTCACCCCCGAGGCAGGCGCGTCGCAATACGAACGGAGCAACGTTATGTTCGTTGGAGTCAACCTTTAAAGAAATAAATTATCCGATACACTAAGAGAAAAAACATCGAATCTGAGAACAAGTTGAGGGAACTACCTATCGACGGCGGCGTCTGAAAATCTCCGCATCTATGTTATTTTTTTTTAAGGAGAACAAATTGACATCATTCCTTGAAGTTTTTACAGAATTTTCTTCGCACAGAGAAGAAAATTCACGGCAGTCTTAAAGAATTTTCGTTGAGTAGTTTCCCGTTTAAAGAATGAAGTATGACAGGAAGTATACGACGTCGCAAACCAAGTTATGTGATTGCCGACTTACACCGTCGATATAGTCCGGAAGGTCGCTGTAATTTTGGTATCCTTCTTAAAAATGGATAAATTTTTTAAATAAAAATTGATAGAACTTTCTTCCTTAATTTTAAATCCCGTCATTAGCATAACCAAAGCTAGAGAGTTCTGCCATGGTATGGCTCAAAGGTGGCGAAAATGTAGGAAAAATGTCTCATAACAAAATGAGACCAAGAACGTTTTCCTCATAGAACCACTCTTCCTGATCTCAAAACCCGATGTCCACCTAGCAGCAGTTAGGGCTTTCTGTCCCAATACGGCTCTTATAGCGATAGTACCGAAAAAATATTTCATCTCAAAATGAGGTTGACAAATTGTTTCCAATGCAACCTTTTGATCACACGAAACGTTGTCTTAAAAAGTGGCGTCAAGAGAATATCTACCGGAATGACTCAGCATTTCCGGTTGCATCAGTTGATTGCGGGAAATACACTCTGAATGCGCGCGAGTGTTACAAGTGAATATTAGATGGCAATATTGAGCATTACTGGTCGCACCAGCTGATCGCCAGAAGCATTCTTTGCTAGACGCTACTTTTTTTAAAACAACATTTTGGAGAACCGGAGGTATTATTGCATTGGAAAAAAATTGTTGGCTTCATTTTGAGATGACATATTTTTTTGGAATTATCGCCAACCATGGAGCTTCCAAAGCTTCTTGTGGTCAAAACCCCAAGCTGCGATGACAATCAGTTTTGAGATCAGATAGTAAGTCACAAATGGACCGCGCTGAGGAGAAAGAGACCAAGCCACACCAGCCATTGCCAAATTTAACTAGGCAATCTAATTTTTTACGAGAGAACGTTTGTGCTGATTCCTTTGAAAATTTCTAGGAATTTGCTTCATACCAATCAGAAAATCCACTGAAAGTAAAAATAAATCCGCACAACCGTTTTCATCAAAAACATTTAAGTGCCCAATTGGACGTATTTCTATCAAACGGAACTAAGCGTCATCAGGGGAATAAGGAAGGCAGAGAGGGGCTTGGATTGGCGAGTCTTGCGGAACGCGATGCTTGTTCCGTCCTATACTCGCAATGCTTTTCCATGGCGCTTAGTTCCGTTTGACAGAACGCGCTATCCGGGATTCTAAAATCCTCAAAAAGAACTCAATTTGGCGCTTAGTTCCGTTTAACAGAAATGCGTCCAATTAAATTTAGCAATAGCTTTTGTGGCTTGGTTCTTTTCTGCATGACACGGTCCAAATTAAAGAACTTTTTTGTGGAAGACGTCTCATATGTCCGGCTGTAGCCGAAGCTCTGTGCTTGGCAAAATTAATGGAATAGCTCAACGAGTGACAAACCTGTCGGATTTGAGAAGATACGATGCGTGTTCCTTACAAACTCGAGCCGTAGCCTGTCTGAAGGACTCAAGGAAATCCATCAGCCCTGAGACGGCGAGGTTCTCGAAGGAGTAGTGCAAGACAGGATACGAGGCCATCTGATCGTCGCACCATTGCCTCCCGTCGAAGACCGTCTCCTCGCAGACGCGCTTTCTGCCGACGAGACCGTTGAACACGTTGCGGTTCGGCGATTGGTGTCCGTCCAACTCGATGCCGGACTCGTCCACCTTGATTTCGTAGAAGGTCTTCAGCATGTACAGGTTCGTCGTCTTCCCGAAATCCCGCGGGGCCGTCACCAGGAGCGGCCTCGAGTGACGGTGGAAGAATTTGATCATCGGCGTCTTGTCCACGAAGTGTGACGACTCCACGGCCTCGATGAAAGGGTTCCTGTCACGCTTGTTTTTGGACTGTTGACAGATAAAAAACAAAATTTGAATGGGCAGTTTTCAGCTACATCGAGGAAAAAAGTTAGGTCCTATGAACCGTAAGTACTGAACCGTAAGTACACTGTAAAAAAAAAAAAAAAAAAAAAAAAAAAAAAAAAAATTGGATCTAGAGTCCAGACTCTTAAAAACATCGACAAGAAAAAATACTCTTGATTCAATCAGATTTTTGCTTAAATCAAAAGGAAATCCGCTCAAATTAAGAGGCTTGGTTCTTAATTTAAGCAAAAATCCGATTGAATCAAGAGTATTTTTTCTTGTCGATGTTTTTAAGAGTCTGGACTCTAGATCCAATATGTTTTTTTTTCGAGTGTACAGTGTTCAGTATCAGCCGTGCTTTTCGGTTCATGTGATCACTCTTTCGGTTAAACCAAACCGAATATAAAAGAAGCTCATCATGTTACTATAACCGAGGATACGGTTCCTTGAACCAAGAAAGCGGTTATACATGAACCGAATAGTAGGTGCAGTAAAAATTGAAAACCGTATACTTACGATTCATTTGACCAAACTTTTTTTCAAAAAAAGCACTTAAATGAATCACTTTTCGCGGGAAAGAAGAGGTCTACTCTATGAAAGCGATCAGCAGACTTCATAATTTTCTATCGCCAGGTAAATTCTTTCTGTGAAATTTTTCTTTGAACGAGTCAATGGTTATTTTAATTTGTAGTTATTAATCAAAAAATGGAATTTGGTCGAAGAATGATTGTTAATTTAGTATACCAATGATTATTTCTTGTTTACTAAAAAAATAGCTGAATAGGAGAATCACGCGGATATTTCAACGTTATTTAGTTCCCTTCATCCAACACTGCTGACGTGCACTTTACAGAGAAAAAAAAAATACAAGATCTTAAATCTTAAGATCTTAAGTAAGAGGCTCCCTACCATAATGATCGCGCTATCCTGCGAAAAATGACCGCCTACAGACTTTCAGTGTCATAACCAAAAATCAGATAGTTCCACAGAACCCCCCCCCCCCCACCGTAGCGGTAGCGACAAACTTTCACGAAATTAACAGGTGCGTCTGCTGGAACAGATTTCGCTCGGTCCTAACCCCTGAAATTTTGTAAATGAGCCTAGGGTGGGTGTGAGGGTGTCTTATGGGTGTGTCTGTACTGTCTGGTGGCTACATGTTTCAAATGGAAATACAGGTCGAATAATCAGCTAAAAAGAAAATTCTAGGCTAAAGTATTATCTGTTATAAAATTAGGGGGGAATCTTATCTACAACCATACGATTAAACTGATATCTTTCAAACTGAGCGATCAATGTCCTAGGCAGCGGCGCTTGCCGTTGTGAGGGTTGGAAAAAAACTTGAGTTATCCATGTTCAATATCTCGATTTGTTTTTGGGAAGATAAGATTACAAAAATGTGCTGTTGGAATATTGATTCAGTAGCAAGCAAACAGTCAGAGTGCGAAGCTGTACGTTTGTGATTCCACTTCATAATTTCACATTTCAAATTATGAGTGTGATTTATAAAAATCTCTATCAACATTCGATAGATTTTCATACACGAATGATGTCATCTTTCTTCCTTTGATAAGTGTGGAATGTCCACCTTATCCTCTTGTTTACGAGTTGGTATATTTGAAATTGTTTTTGCAAGAACCATGAATCGTGTGGTCTTGTTTCTGCCTTGCCCTGCACTTCCTTACTCGTGTCAAGTGTTACTAGTTTATGAGAGCCGCCACATTGTTAAGACTAAGGATCTAGACAGTTCCATTTACTTATTTTTGTGATCAAGGCAAATTACCTCGTAGCTTGGGCCACAGAGCGGCTTGAGTGCTGGCGTCCCAGCTGAATCAAAAATTTCTTTCTCCTCCGTAGATTCCGCGAGATTTAGAAATCCTTGAGCCTTATCTGCAACATGAATGGAAATCATTTTACAAATTAAAATTGATTTCTGTGACTATGACAATGTTCTCGTAAACTCACAGTGATACAGCCCCGTGTGCTTCGATAGTATCCCACCAAAATAACTCAATTTATTTATTTGCATTTTGACATTAACTCAAATCTTAAAACAGGATAATGTAATTACTTTGTAAAAAACACTAATAAACTATAAGCTGGCTGTAAAAACACAGGTAACAAAAATCGAAGAACAAATGATATCCTAGATCAAAGGAATCCTGTTTCCACCATGTTTATGACCTAGAATAAGTGACTCCGAGACTTTGAATGGATCACTAGACAAGGTACGAATTTAAGCAATCTGATACATGTTTCTTAACCAAAATTTCACGTAGAACACGATTCACACTACGAGAATTACCGAAATCAACTTCTAACGAAGATATTAACGTTTTTATTTCGCACTGATTACGAGGAATTTGAACTGCCCGCTCACAAGAAACTCAAAGCTCTACGTGAGTCAAATCGCGCACTACAACGGTTTCAGCAAGCTTCTCAATCGAGCAATGTTCATTTTCCACCATGTGTTCTTCAAACTATTGGTAATTTGCTATAGCTGAGCCAAAGTGTCAAGATTGAAGTTGAAGATTTTTACATCGCAGAGACTGTCATGATAAACATTTAGCGCGCGATGTGAATCACGTAGAGCATTGAGTTTTCATGAGCGGGTGGTTTGAATTCACGCATCAAGAATCATTAAATATCTTTGTCAGGAGTTGATTTTGGTAATTTTCGTTGTGCGTATCGTGTTCTACGTGAAATTTTGGTTGAGAAACATGTATCAGAATGCTGAAATTCGTACCTTGTCTAGTGGTCCATACTCAAGAGTATTAGCGGACATGATTGACCTGATTGATTTTTCATGATATTTAAAATCCTAAGTCCATTGATGCATCGTTTTCCTTTGGTCTCTGGTAATTTGCGCTACGAAACTCATTAATCGGCATCCTCTTCGCCTCTTGAAATAAGTAGGACACGTTCTTTTTAGTAGTGTAATGTGCATGTCATTATTTAGTTTTATATAATTTTTAGTAGTGTAATGTGCATGTCATCATTTAGTTTTAACCGTGATCTTTTTTCTATTGAAAACTATTTTGAATAATAATTTTCACTTATAAACATCTTACGTAAAGTCAGGATTGTTGCAATGAGTAAGAATGTCATCGATTGAATGACAAACCAGCTAGGTTGTGGACAAAGACCTCTTGAATTTTTTGATAATGTCTCCATCTGAAAAGTAAACAAGGTTTATAAGTCAATGGCACAGAGTGATAAAATGTCAAAATTATTCTCTTCCGAATTTTTTACTTTAACTTCAAAGTAGTTACTGTAATCTTTCATATAGACAAGAGGTTAAATGGAGGAAATACTATTCCTGATAAATTCGTAAAAGCACCTACCTCTACACAGAAACTGATTGCACATATGTTGTATTTGAAATGAACTATGCAATAGTTGCTCCCTATTGCGAAATGTTGTCGACAGGTACCTACTAACGACTATATTTTAAATTTTAGAGCTTCTAAGAAATTTATAATGTAAGAACATTAAGCAACGGTTATGTTTATCATCTTCAGGAAACAGAAATTTCAATTATTCTTTTGGCAGATTTAAGTCAAAACATATAATGGAAGTATTAAGATATTTTAAGATAAATGGTTATTTACTGACTCTTACAAAGGAGACCTTTAATGACAAACAGTTATGTAAATTGTATGTTACATAACCGTTATACACTGAAGGAAAAGAATGATGATTTGAGTCAATATTTTTTTTTCTTTCTTTTTTTTGGGGGAACATGATTTTGGTGCATATTGTTAATCCAAGAGAGACAAACAAGCAGCGATAAAAAAAATTCGTTTTTTTGTTTGTTTCGGAAATGAAAGCGTACTAAAATTCTGATGTGATGTGTGTCGTTTTTGACCTACGACCGAAATCCACCAATGTTATCTTTGTTGGAGGTCACAAAAGAAACAAATTAGAAATTGCGTTCGACACTTTAATACATTTTTCCACAATTTTTGAAATGTTCTGAGCTCCGTTTTTAAACTGCAACGGAGACTAAGGTTAAGACGTGAACTACAGTTAATTTCCTTGGTTGAGTTCTGTAAGGGTCGAAATATATCCGTTGAAATTAAAATCATTCTGACTACGTGCTTCAATGCTTGCATCGCTTATTCGTGTAGAATGCTAAGGTTAAAATTACAGTCTAATCGAAGTATGTCAGAGAAGAGAATTCTCGAAATTTGAAAGCAAACGTATCATTGAGTAACATCCACGGGTAAAAATTTAATGATATTGAGAAGCGTAGTTATGAATGACATCAAGGATCAAATATTACATCAGCTGGACTTCATTTTGCAATCAGGAACTATTATTTCTGACTCACCTGTTTAAAAAAAAAAAAAAAAAAAAAAAAAAAAAAAAAAAAAAAACCTCAGGAGACTAATGGTACATACGTTGTTTCTAAACTGAACCACAAATTGTAGTTCCAAATTGCAAAATGTAGTCCCATGCTCTCGGAGACCTAACTGCTTACCCTAAAACGTATTATTCAACTTTTTTTCATTTCTCTTCATTAAAATTTATAGTTATAACGATTCTTACCTTTCGTCAAACAGCGCGTTCCTTGTTTTATTTTAATATAAAAAGCACCGTTATTAGCAATAAAAAAGAAGCACCTCATGACTGACTGATCAAACACTGATTGAAAGTTTGACTGGAGACGGTTCCTGCCGTTTGTTCCAACAAAGGTCAATATTATGCCCCTTGATTACATTTGTAAGCGTTTTCACTTTTGACTGTCTGACGTCTTCGTTTTGAACTGTGATTATCATCTCCTTATCTCCCAGTTTACTCCTCGCTCACCGGTCATTCAGTCCTCAAGTTGTTTAATATTTTAGGGCCATTTATTATGAGAGGACCTCAAAATTTGAGATTGTGATCTCATATTTTATTATTATTAGCTTAATTTAAATCTGGTGGTTTTTATTTCATGGTTGTGGCTAAGTTCGGAATGGAACCTTTATTTTAAAAGTTGTTTTGTTTCCTGAAGTGCATGTTTTATTTTTTCAAAGTTGACACCATTGGGAATCGCTCGTGCAAAATTTGCCTGATTTTAATAAAGGATCGCAAGACTGGCCACGGTACGTTTCTAATTAGAGTATTATTATCGTATCCGTAGAATAAAATTGGCCGTTGAGAAAATGCTGAAAAATTGCAAAATGGTAATACGGATTAAAAAATCTGGCCTGAACTATGTTTTAGCCTTCTGAGTCATTAAAGGCCTTCTGATATTTTCAAACCGGATGATCAATGTGAGAGAGCAAATGATGACTCACAAGAGATAAAAATATTTTCAACATCAAGCGCACGTCAACCTGCTACAATTGCTCAAATTGGGTGAGAATCGATTTTTGCATTATATATCTCTAATTTCACCCAATATAAATGGATTTTAATAGTTCCAAAACTTCCTCTTAAGGCAATTTATCGAAAAATAAAAAGGATAATACGTTTCTTTATTTTCATATTTTGACGTGTGAAATAATTAGGGATTGAGTAAAAAATGAATCTTTTATTGAACATACCAAGACAAATAACAGTTAAAATGAATTTTTACTGTAACTTGAAAACAAAATACAATGGTACAAAATGATAAGTTAAAAGGGCATTAATTCTGAGCTAATAAATTATTTCGAGTTGTATTTTTTTGACTCGCAGCAAAACAAAAAAAAAATACCCATGTCATCAAGTGAAATTATCTCTCAACTAAATTGAAAACACAAGGAAGTAAACTTTACTTTATGGTGATCCGATCAATATAATAGATGATTTCCCTACAATTTTCAGAACTGATGGTTCAGCTGGTTTGAACCTTCAAAATCATTTTTATTTTACATTCTTCAACAAAAACACCATTTTAACATTTTATAGAAAAAATTGGCAGGCTTTAGGAAGAAGTAGTTATAAGTATGCTCGAAGTTCTTCACAAAAAAAGAGGAGAAATACTTTTAAAAACGTCAATATTCTGCAGATAATTTTACTTGCTAGAGTTAAACTTAGTGTTGTGACCATCAGGACACGGAGAAAGAAACTTCGTGCGTGGGACCCGAAGTTTAGGTTATATGGATCTCTGAGGTTTTCGGATTGAGCATCTGAACACTTTAGGTCCAGCTGCTGAGGTTTGGATCACACATCTGAAACTTCAGTTCTTACATCTAAAGTTCTTCGGTTTTCACATCCGAAAAACTTCGGTTCTCACATCTGAAGTACTTCAGATGTAAGAACTGAGGTTTCAGATGTGTGATCCGAACCTCGACAGCTAGATTGAAATTGTTCAGATGCTCAATCTGAAAACTTCAGAGATCCATGTGACCTAAACTTCGGGTCCCACGCACGAGGTTTTTTTCTCCGTGGAGGGTTATTGACATTTTTGTTGTCTTCCGTTTCTTTTTCTTTTTCCTTTTCAATAGGTATACTGTTAGGTAAACATTTTTGGCTCACATATTTATTTTATGGAAAAATCAAACATTTTATCGCTTGAAATTTTCTTAGAATCGCTTTCTATCATAGAATAGAATCATGTCTATTTTAAAATAAAATGACGTCTTTAAAGAATGAAGTATCACAGAAATTTCTCAAATGAGACGAATCGAGATACGTGTTTTCAAAGTTATGGATCTGCGCTTTTTGTCACAATAGCGTAAGTGAGTGGTGCCATGGTACCACTTGTTAACGCTTGTAGTAAGAGGCAGCTGACAGCAGAGTTTCATGAAATGAGGGTCTTGGAGGACAAGTGGGAAAAGTGCAGTTTTTGCTATTCTAAGAAATATGTGTTTGAAGTTTCAAAATTGCATGGAGTCTTACCTCAAAGAGAAAGTTAAAACTCACTTTTAGATATTAAAAATTGGATTTTAGTGATGTATGATTCTAAAGGAAAATATTTTGATTGATTGAAATCATTGATTGAAATAATTAATGATTCATTTTTTTCAAAAACTGCCTTATCCCTCTTGTCTTCTAAACCCCTCAAATAAAAGTCACAAAATGAAAGGAAGCAACCAGAAACAACATCTATTTGAAGAAAAATAATGGGCTTGGGACCAATACATTCAAAATAAAATTAAATTTAAAAAAAATCCCTGTCTTGATTTACACAATTTCCATTCGTTCATTCGCAACAAGTGTGTTTACTACTTATTTACCGTTACGTTTTACCACGCAAAAATATTTACTGTACTAGCCACTTCGGATGAATAATGTTTATCGATGACTAAGAAACTGACAGACGAAGTTATGGAATGGATACTCAAATTTTTTCCGACGCTACTCGCCTTCACTTATCAATAATTATAATTATGTCTTGTTCAGTCTTTTTGAAATTTCGTCCAGACGATCAAAATTTCAGTAACTTAAATATTAAAAAGTCTATTTAACTTATCATTAAAAACTACGGAAATTCTTTCTAAATGAAACGGAAATGCCTACTCACTTACTTTCTAAGTAACTTACATATAAATAAATTTATGCCGAAAAAATCTCTTTTGGTAGCCACAATTTTAAACAGGACTTAGCAATTCCTGTGAAGTAAATAACTAGCTGCAACGCTTGGAGCCAGAGTAATTATGTGCGAAGTGGCTTAAATCATTTATTTGTAATCACAGAGTTTGCCATAATTTACCTTTTTTTCAAAACGTTGTTTGATCAGAACCTTAGGTAAATACCTACGTAATTCTGACTTTTGGGAATGATCAGAGTTGGCAATTAAGGGGTGTGGAGCAAAGCATTCCGAGCATTCCTCATAAATCCAGGCGCAACTTCATATTCGTGAAAGTAATACATTTTTTTTTGACAATACACTCTGCGCGTGTACAATTAGACAAAGCAATAGGTGGTCAATATTTTGGTAACGGCTCAAATAACTGGATTAACAACACGAGGAATGACAATAACATCCTAATTTGGATGATAAAACTGCGGAAGCTTTGAGGTCGGTTATGATTTTCCAAAGGTTTGTTCATTCTTTGTTCTTCAAAGGAAGACACCCAAAATTTTTGTACATAAACCCTCGAGAAAAATTCTTGCTTATAAGGACGAGAATATCCGTCAAAAATTCTCGGCATGTAACGGTTGGTTTCCTCAAGGAGAAGACTTGACACGAAGATTGCTCATGACGCATTTGCCTACTTTTACAACTGAGGTAAGTTTTGAAGGGGGGCATGAGCCACCTGCTGCAAAACCACCTGCAGCTCCGCCCTGCTAAAAAAGTTGCAATGTCATTCAATTGGAATTCAGTGAACTTTTCCTGAAAATTCCCGCATGTCCAATAAGAGCAGGTAACTCACCGCGCGCAATTTTGATATTTTTAAAATGTAGCTAAAAGCTAACTTACTTTGATTTCTTAATTACCAAACCATGAAATCCTTCAAGTCAAAATTAAAATCCCCTTAGCAAATATTAAACTAAGAAATCATAAAATATTAATTTGAAATAATTGTCGTAAATAAAAATTTTCTTGTGCGTTGATAAAAAGTGAGATCTGTAAAGCGCAAACTTGTTTATAGGTACTCTTTATTGTCTCTAGATATAAGCTCTTCCTGGTAAAGCTGAGAGAACAGCTTAAAAATTTGTAACAAAAAGAGGTAAACAGACGGCCCTAAAAAATTTCCTAGTCCTCTAAAATCAATGGAAAGTATGAGATACGCTTTATAAAGTTCTTCTCCTCGTACTTGATCCCGATAAGGATGGATTGGCTATGAGGACAACTGAAAATTTATAGGACCCCCTTCTAAAAAGTGTGTGCTTGATTTTAACAAGTGCGAAAAGAAAGTGTTACGAAAAATTATCACTTTTAATTTCATATTCTAAAAAAGCACAGATGTCATTGAAACAATAATTTATTTCAGAGCCCTCAAATTTTCAACTCGAAAAACAACTTTTCACTTTTTACTCAGCATTAACATAAAATATTCGAATAAAATTACGTACTCAGCATTAAATAAAGTTTTTGGGTTGTTAATATTGTACATTTTAATTATGTTGTCGGAAATGTTAGTGTCATTAACCACGTGGAAACAAAATTAAATACCAATTTTAATTTTCTGATATTTCACCCTTTGTAAAAAATTGTATTTCGGTTTAAAACCTGATAATACAGAAAATAATGTTTCTAATTATTTTGGTCTATCTTCTGTGCCTCTAAACGATCATAAAAAAACATAGTTAAGGTGATTCGATGGACGCCATATTTTAAGTCAGAAAGACATGCGATATATCACATCGATTGGTTCTGGGCGCATAGGTGCCTACAAACCTAACAGGGATACTTCACGCATTGCGCAAGGCGTGAAGTATCCCTGTTAGGTTTGTAGGCGCCAGCGCACATTTCGCGCCGGCATCTATTTTGCATTTTGTTCTAACTCAAAATATGGCGTCCATCGAATCACCTAATAAGGAGTGGAATATTTGAGAGAGCTGAAGCAAATAAAAATAATCATATTACTTAAAGTTTAGTCAGGATCAGAATGTTTTCAAACCTGTAGAGAAGACGTATGGTTCGTATTTTGATACAATTTAGAATTCAGATTTCAAGTTTAATTTTAATTTCTGTTTTAGATCTAGAGCTTGCATGTCAATGGAGCAAAATTTGAGGAAAGAAACGCCGATTTACGTGTTTCCCGTATTGTACCCTCCCAAATACTAAAGTTTACTCAAAGAAAGAATTTTGTTCAGTTCTCTCTCTCTCCACATGACTCAAAATGTTTTTCTTTTGGTCTTTTAATCAAGTAAAAAAATTCACCAATGGGCCATCTTTTTATTCCATCGTGTAGGTCTAGGCATGGTTGATTCATTTAAAACTCCAAGTTTGAATATAATACTGTGTACGTTTTATAAACTGATTTGATTCTGTCCGCCGGTATTAAGAGACAGAAAAGAAAAGGAAACAGGAAAAAAAGGCCTAGTTCAAATCCTCCTCCCCATATCTTTGATTTTTATATAGAATTATGACAACCATGGAACACAAAATAATCATTCGAAATCAAAATTACACAATGCTTTAAATTATTATTGTCTCCTTAGACCTAAATATTGAAACTTACACCTAATTATTGTCGGAACAGCCTCTTTCGAGTATTGTGCTTCGAGTTTATTTCCTTAAAAAAATACTCTTTTAAAAGTCTAACATCTACTTAAGAGTACAGAAAAAACAAAAATATATACTTCTGACAAAAGGAGCCCACTGAAATTAATTTGCAATGCATTTGCAAAAAAAAAAAAAAAAAAAAAAAAAAAAAAAAAAAAAATAATAATAAAGAAAAAATAAACAAAACTCTTCCACCATTACTTGATGTAAATGTTTCATATATTGTTGGATTGTACCTCACTAAAATCCGAATGAGATAATAATAATTATTGATTGTGAGCTGAAGAAACGATTAGGGCAATATATTTTTTCCCCTCCGAAAGCGGTTTTAAATTAACCTCTGCTTTGCATCCGTCTTCAATCTCTACTGAACAATCTCCTAACGAATCGGAACGGATCGGCGAACAACTTATGTCTGAAGGTTAGTCAAATCAAAAATTAATGCGCCTTCAATTCTTAAGGCATGCAACAAGGACATCTGCAAAGCTTGTGCAGTTTTATCCATGAATGTTTTCGAGTTTATATTTTCTTAAAATTCGCATTCCAAATTTTACTAATCTCACAATAATTCAACGTATGAGTTATTGCCTCAGATTGATTTATTTCTTCGAGCCACTCTTTCATCTGCAACCGCCTAATATATAATCAACATCGTTTTGTGAGGTGATGAAAACATCCATTAACCATTCTTAACAAAATACCCTCTAGGAAAAAAAAGAAGTACCTATGATTTGAACAAAATCTTAATCATTGGTAATAAAATCACAGCTAAGCAAATCTATTCGACTTATTGTTAGTACACACTGAAACACTGCAAAAATTAATAATCAAATGCAAATCATCTAATACTTATATATTTACATATATACAATAGCTCATTGTACGTAATATTCTACACCCTAACAATTAAAACACCTTAAACCACCATTTTAGATCTTGAAGGAATCTCAAGGATTGATAATAATACTTTGTCAAATTTTCTTCTTTATGAAATACTAGCAGTCAACCCGCGCTTCGCGCGGCGATATTGCAGGAAACAAATCGGAATATGTCATAATATATGCGTATAACTTTTAATTCACTGATTTTACAAACACTGACTGAAAAACACAATGAACTTTTACAAAACTGATTTTACAAATTTCAACTATCAAAATTTCCAACAATGACAAAAATGATTGTAATATACCTATAATGTAATGAAATACACACGCTCCAATCATTTAATGTGTATTACCTTTATGTTATGTACATACATTATACTATTTTTATAATAAATTTTGCCAACATGCTTTTCAATTCATTCTACAACATTTCATTCCGACGTGGTAATAAAGACTTTTAATGCCCCGAATACATTATAATTAATTACAATAGTAATGCCGCATTATCATGTGGTATTACACATCGAAACGATTCATGTTCTACTAATTATTGATTATTGTGAGATGAATTCTGTTTTCTCTGATTGTATGTTTCATACGAAGCATGCACACTGAAAAAAAGCTCTGTTGTAACAAACCAGAATTTCTGGTTGTATTTCGCAACCAGATTTTCCGGATGATTTAACCAGAATTACAGTTGACTCAACCAGACGTCTGGTTGACTCC